ATTATGATTATTCTTATTAACTATTATCTTTACAATAACTTTACACATGATACAATATGAACGCAAATTAAATATTGTAAATTCTAAATAAAAAAAAATACAGCCAAGCTTAAAGAGCTATTCTACAAATTCTCTATTTAACTTTTAGGGTTCCGTACCCAGATGGTAAAACAGGACCTCATTACTAAGACTCCGCTGTCTGTCTGTCTGTCTGTCTGTCTGCTGTCTGTCCATCTGTCACTAAGCTGTATCACATGAGCAGTGATAGTTAGACAGTTTTTCATAGATAATGTAGGAATTTCTGTTGCCGATGTAACAAGAAATAATAATAAAAAAATTTAAATGGGGCTCCCATACAATAGACATACGTGAAACTACAGACGTATGGAACCCTTACGGAAGTGCGAGTCCGACTCGCACTTGGCTGGATTATATATTTGTCTAGCTAGGATACATTTTCTATTTATTTAAGTATGAAATTGTTTCTTTTCATATATGCATATTATATTACTTATTATGGAATATTATTTTGTGCCAACGAAAGAAATTGATCGCAATCGCGTTCAATTGAAAATATTATTTCCAAATGTTTATTCATTTGTTTGTTTGAGCTTGGAAATAGCTTGACCGAATTTAAAATAGTCCACAGGTCCGCAGCTGTGGATATTAACGGTTTAATTTTATTTACATGCCAAAGCGGATGAAATCTACGGGCAACGTAAAAAAAGCGTGTCTCAACTCAACCCATTTTTTCTACCTGTTCTTAACGATAGATAGTAGAGTTGAATAAATCGAATTAACGTCAACCTTTATATTTTATCCTTTTATTATTATTGTTTAATAATGACGCGTTTAATAGCTTGCGGAAACTATAATTATAATAGCTTTATTTCTCTTTATGGATATTTTAACGTAGAATTTTAGTTACAACGAACAACAAAACAGATAGATAAGTTAAAAATAGCTGAACAAAAATTCAATGAATTTCTATTTCAATCACAAATCTGCAGCGATCTATTATTTTGTCACAGAAAAATTCTACGCTATACATCCAGCTATTCGCGGCATTTATCGTGTTTGATTCTTATTAAAATTCCCGAATATTCAGAAAGCCAGGCCAAACCTTTCATGGTCACGGTAGAAACTGGGGTGTTAGATACCACAAGTTCGTGATTTTTTTTTATTATGCGAGAAGGTTTCAAGCGAGTTTGCGGTTTGCTGGTAAGTGACAACCGCCTATGGACATTTGCATCACTCGTAGGATTGAAGATGCGTTGCCACCTTATAATAAAGTAGGCCCCGCCTACCTCACTCACCGAAACGCAGAATTATAACACTTCCGCATCAGACCGGTCTTCTGTGAGGTCGTGGTGCTTATACGGACGGACCTACCCAATCCTGCAACAGCGAAAACTGTTGGGTGGCCCTACCACCGTTTGTTCTTTTATTGTTTGAAATCTTTTAAATGAATTCTGTTTAAAAAAATTAAACTCAAGCACATAACAATCATAAAACATGAAGAGAAGATCAGAAGAAATTTAATATCTAAAAAAGCGTTCATGAAACACTGAATGAGTTTTTTAGCCGTAGCGAAAGCGGTTGAACATCCAGGATTTCAGTGTATAGGTTAAAAATAGGGGACCGAAATAACACTATTCGATGTTAATTGTTATTGTGCTTTTTCTGTTATACTCAACAGGACATGCGAATAAAGGCTCAGTAATAAACTAATTAACTGCATAATGCGCTAATATGAAAGGTCATCCATTAAGTATAGAAACAGTATTACAAAAGGACTGCGTTTGACCAAAGTCTTTCGGCTCTGCACCTACCACGGTCCATTGCGCGTCCAAAACAGTTCGGGAGTGTTCGTTTGTCGTGTGCGTTTATTTACGCAATGCCCACGGTGTTGGCCGACTTCCAGAAGCAAACGAAAATAGCAGCTTTCTCGATGTCATTGTACCATGATCACCAAAGGCCTACTACTGTTTTGACAACACATTAAAACTGATTTATTTCAAAATACGTACAGAAATTACATATAAGTAATTGTTACACATTATAAATTATTCAATAAATGTTTACGGTTTGTAATTAAGCTAAATGTTTAGTTTCAATAAATAACGTATAAAATTAATTTGATCATTTGAATTTTTCGAGAGGTAACCTCGCACAAAGAATGTCCAAAATAATTGAAACCGGACTCACTGTCATAACTAAAATATTATTATAGTTTTAAATGCTAATACCAAAATTAAAAACATACATGCAAAGCAGACTTTAATGAAAGTTACAAAAAAATAAAGAACATAATTATTTTACAGAAGATATCATTGAATATAAATTTCGTTAAACCATACAGAAGACATAATAATTATGACGCTCTTCTAAATCTAAAATAACTTACAAAACTTGGACCATGGACATTGTAATAGTTATTATGTAAATAATAAATCGATGATAAAGTGTCAAAATTTTGTCAACTATAAAACAAACTTTTGTCACTATATTCCATTTAGTATCTTTAAAATTACAATGCTGATCGGGTACAGCAGTTGGTCATTTAGCATGTAGTCATTTTCTGTTTTTTTTTTATACTTATTGCTCATACTTAAATAATTAGCTTATACACTTTATATTTAGGTTTGGAGGTTATGAAAAAAAATATAAATGGCGATTCTATTTCAGAATACAATGGGACGACGAATAAAAACCTTCTTAGTTAACAGAGGCCCTATCAGAGTAGAAAAAGATGGTCGGACCAACAAAAACCGGGACGATTCGTTCGCCCGGCCCTTTTATTTTGCCCCGTCTCAGTCTTTTTACTTTTATTCCGAAAATATCGCATTCACGAACCCATTTCGAAAGGAAACGTGATTCTGCTCAAGGTCAAGTGAATTAGTATTCGTATGGTGTTCTTGCTGTTTGACCGGGCGCTAAAACTCGTTAATATGCTCGCTTCTCGAACTCTTTTTTCTAACAGAGATTAGAATTGGCTGCGCCGGAGCTGTCTGCTTTAATATGTTGTGGTTATATAATTTGAGGCTCGTTATGAGCGTTGGGCAATGTGATGATTTTAATCGGGAATTTTGATGTATGTAGGTAGGTACGTGCTTTGAAAATCTAAAATCGATTCATCAGGTCTTTCGTCATAATGGCCTCTCTGGCGTCTGAACGAAAACATACATACGTAATTATATTTTTTATAACAATAACACAAGCCATCTTTTTTTAGCTATTTTACAATTTTTACACTATATATAAATATTACAATTTTTAACACTCGAAATAATTACATAAAGATTAACATATACATAATTATATTTTTTTTTGAGGTGGCAAACGAGCTGGCGGTTCACCTGATGATTAGTGATCCATAGGGTTGCAGATGCGGTACCACCTCATAATAAAGTAGGCTACCTCACTCACCAGACGAAACGCAGAAGTGTGACACTTCCACATCGACACGCCAGGCTTCTGCGTGGTACTTACCCGGACGGACCTGCCCATTCATGCAACACCCGAAGCTGTTGCGTGGCCACATTTAAAAATAACTTTCACTGTTTCTTCAGATATAAATAACTTTCGAATTAATAGATTTTTCATATTGTCTCTCGTTTCCGGCACATCGGATTGTAGAGGGTCCGCGGCCATCACTGTTGTACCAATGGGTCATCTAGAAAGGTACCAAGGTCGAAGAGAAAATCGACGTGAAGAGGAAGTATACTTCTACGTTTTTTTGGTGAATAAGTCGGGGCTCAGTTTTTAGGGTTCCGTACCCAAAGGGTAAATAACTAAGACTCCGCTGTCTCTCTGTCTGTCTGTCTGTCCGTCTGTGACCAGGCTTTATCTCATGAACCGTGATAGTTAGACAGTTGACACTTTCACAAATGATGTACTTCTGTTGCCGCTAGGACAACATAATTATATTTGACATGATTTTTTTGCTGTTTTTGGGAGTCTGTGTGGGAAGCCGTGTGTGTGGGAGTCCGACTCGAACTGAGACAGTTTTTGTTAAATTATTATGTAGTGGAGATTCCAAATGTCCATTGGTGCCGATTATCACTTTACATAAGATGCCCGTCAGCTCCCTTAATACTTTCCCACAAAAAAAGAACAATTATTTTTAATTTTATTTAAATTTAATTTTTTATCTCACTTAAATTCAAGAGCAGGATAAATCATGTATTAATAATACATTTAACTGAACTAAATCTAGGTCACCACGTATTCTTAAATAAACTAGTCTTGGATGTCACCAGAATGTCGTTTATACGCCGCGTCGTGGGAGTGATGCGGACATTCATCGACTGTTTGGTAACTGGGAGCGATAGGAACCGCCCTGGTACCCGGGTACTACTAGTACGGTGCGGGCGATTACACGACTTCTTTTCGTTTATCATGAGTATTATGAAAAAAACCTTAGATATATTTCAAACATTAGTTTAACTCCTTTACTACGTCGAGTCGAAGAAAAATCTGATTGAACACTGTTCTATATATTTAACACTTTCGACATACTTTCAAATCATTGAACCATTTAGCAACGTAAGATTGATTAAATTCGAGAATATCTAATAATTCATAAACAAACTAAATGTCACCTTGTAAATATGTTGTGACAACGCAACTTGATTATCTCTCCGCGTGCCACATGATTGTTTTTGTCGTGCCGGGTGAGGGAGGATCGCCGAAGCCGGCTTCCAACCCCTAACCTCAAAGACGAGGAAGACTCGGCGTGAGACGTTAGGGGAGCGAGCCGGTCAATGTTGTCACGCATGCGCACCCCTCACTCGAGACAAGCGGGCGCCCAACGACGCTGCACAAAGCGCGAACATCCCCGCCGGCTCGCACTGACCCGTCCCAACATTAATGTACCGCGACAACGAGACACGTTTGCAACACGGTGCTGCCTAAACCAGTGAAAGTACGAGCATGTGATAGAGCTGAACGCGTCAGCGCAACGTAGTGTTCCTTTTCGCGAAAACGCACCAGCTATCATGTACAAGACGGTGAGACACGGCGAGAACAGTTTGCAGTACACTATACTCCCGCAGACGGAGGAGGTGTTGAGTAACAGTGGACTCAAGGGCAAGGGACGCGACTACAGTCCCTCTATTCACGTCCGCCGTTCCCGCAGGAGGTCCACGTTGAAATATGTCCTACTTATTTTATTCGGAATCGTTTTCGCACTCGCTCTAGCATCTGTTCCACTCTACATCATGAATGCAGCGCTGCACGCCCGGAGAAGCCAGCATGATCATCAGGACGCTATCACAACTGCTCCTCTTACTCCAGCCGGTCGTGAAATAGTAAAGTCGCGGAAAAAGGAGCTCAAAATTCTCCCCGAGTTTCTTTCGACGGAGAACACTAAGTTGGAGGTTACAAAGCATCCTGTCATCACTACAACGTATGTCCCTACAACAGTTAGCCGTGATAAAGCAACCACTCCACCATGGACTATACCTGCTTTGAGGTCTTGGAAAGGTGTGCCTTTAGCAACGACTTTGCACCCCGTTCCAACGGAGACATTGGAAAAAATCCCTCTAATAGGCACGCCTTCTGGAAGCGTTCGTTTACTCGACAATTATATGTCGGCAAAGCCGTGGGAGAAAGACATAATAATAAGGCCAACCGTCACGCCGGAACCGATTACAATCCGAAACGTTTTCAAGTACTATTCCCGTGCTTTCGCCACTTCGGACAGATCGATCACGGGCAAAGCAAAATTATTCGATGACGTTTTGATAACGACGCGGGCTACGACCACGCGCTCCCCAACCACAACCGAGACAACAACAATGACGATATTGCTAGATGAAGGTGATGAGTTTAAGGAATCGTTGGAAGTTGATGAGGTGTTCTCTCTACCTCCGTTGAAACCGGAATCGCCGGGGCCGGTGAGTGATTCTGATGAAGTGACCGTCTCCAAAGCTGGCGGCAATGGCTGGTATGGAGCACGGTGGCCGTTTGTCGATACCTCATCTTATTTCCAATGGACGGTAAGTACATAAATTGATTGCACTTTCGTATAATGAATACAATATTTTTTAATGTTTGTGTTTAATACATTTTGTTTTACTGAATCAGAATGCTTTACTATAATTGACTAAAGAAGCTTGACTATAATTTCTGCCAAACTGAAATATACAAGCGTAAAATCATTTTGTTATTATGTAACAGGTGTTGTGATTTCTTCGTTGAAGAAATTGAAACAGCTTTCAATGTATTTTTTCTGATATATGAAATAAGAACCGATATTAAAATTGCCAATTATATCTTGGTGAACCTGCAACTGTCTGGTGTCTAATTCCGGTCATTGGGTTGCCAATGCTATCGTCGAAATCAATAATAAGCAAGGGAGTAAAACTACCTATCGAACTATTGATTTTCGACGATCATCGCTATGCAGAAACAAAAAATACTGAGTGGAAAATAACGAAAAGTTAAATCGTGTTAAAAAATAACACGTACTTTAAAACTAAAACTTCTCACAAATCATATCTAAGTCACGTGTGTAACAAACGTTAACAGGACCCGCATAAAGTTAATTTGCATAGCTTGTAAATAACGTAGCTGTCAGCACTTTTGTTTACAAGCCTCGGTGGAATAGCAGAAATTTCAATATTATTCTTTGCTCTAATAGCGGAAAATCTAAGCAACGTTGATATACATCATATAATGTCGTTTTAAAATAATTTGTATATTTACTTATTTTGTAAACTTATAAATAAAACAGACATATGAAAGAAAACATTTAATCTGGTAAATGTATTGTACTACGTAGTAAATAATAAATTGAGAATTGATTCAATGGGTGGAGTTCTTTCCAGAAATTGTAATTGGGAATTATAATATTTAAAATATATTTGTTAAACTGAAAATTACATGAATAATTTTATATACTAACAAAAAGAGCTAAAAATACATGATCATAATCTCCGAACAATATGCAATGCTTACTTTAGTATACTTTACTTAAGCTGGTGAATTTAATGAAAGCCTTTATACAACCAATGAAATCTCTTCCTTTATTTAATTGTATTGGGGATAAAAATTATTGCGAATGTTTTTTTCTTCTTCTTTTTACAGGGATACTCCCTCGGAGACAACTTGTTACTGCCTTTATTGATAGCGGCAATGTCGTCAATCGTACTAGTGCTTCTCCTGGCCCTAGCCGTGCGACGACGAAGAACTTCGTCTACTTCAGCACAGATTGGAGTATGGCTTTTTTATAATAATTTATTATACATTTCTGATGATCTTGATTGCATATTATGCTGTATTGTGAATTTTGTCAAAGACGTAGAAATCTGTAATTTTCCGTCGTCTTGTAAAATTAAAACTATTTCATTTGTCTTTTTGTATACGATTATATTCGTAATTTTTTTGCTAATTCTTTAAATAGGATATTTTTAACTTTTCGCGTCAATTCCTATCACAGCTTTTAACGGGTGAATTGTTCCAGAAGATTACCGCCGACCTTCAAGAGGACGACAACACTAACTTACTGCAGGCCGAAAATCCAGAAGAGGTAGAGGAATAAGGCTTATTCGGCACCGCTTCTTCATAGCTGCTTCAAGAGTCCAGTTCAAAGAATGCCTCTGTGTATGTACCAGCATTTTGATACACGATTGGCGTGCAGTTTACCACGATAAGGTTTTTCTTTCTTCTAAAGTTTTCTTTTAAAGAGTTCATCTAACCCAAGTATTCATTCAAAGCACCTTGTAATGTTATATCTGTTAACCCTACAGAAATTCTAAATTGAACGAGATATTATTACCCACTATACGTCTTCTACAGACGGATTTCAATCTTTCAGTGCCTATTATTTGTAAATATACGGTACGGCGACCCTATGCCTGCGGCAAGGGTCCAAGATGGTTTGCATATTCAGAGATACGATATATCCATTTCTAGGTAAGAATATTTTGTAATTGCCTTAGATATTGGAATGTAATTTAGATTAAATATATGATTAATGTATCAAACGTCAAATTTGCTAAAATTATTTTTGTTACGAAATATAATCTACATTCGTATTATATGAGTCGTGTCGTTTGGTTGACTTTAATCTGAAGATATAATGGAAAGTAACATATGTAATTTTTCAATTCGCACTTGAGATTATGTCAGCCAAACGATGAAACTAATAATAATATAGCGTGATCATGAGCTTGCTAGAAACTTCTAAATATTGCCAAATTTCTTTTCATGCATATGCATTTAAACGTTATAGAATAGCCATTGTGCTATGTATATCATATCTCTGAAAATTTCTATTGATTGACCCGTCAGTATTAACTAAACCCTGTGGTATAATTTGGCGTAAACGTCCGTACATTTGTGTAGAGATACGGTAGGGTAAGATGAAATTTATCAATGATCTCGATGTTACTCTTCTTTTTGGATGTCACATTTCATCTAATGTATTTTCTATTATTCGAATAATCGTAAGCAACGTTGACGTCGCTGCAACGCATTAAAAATTGAAAGACGGCGACAAAGGCTCGCGGGGGGATGCACTAAGAGTTTCGTAGCAATCACTCGATTGCTTGCAGCTTATAACGCAAGACCGCAAGCGACTTACTAGTTTCCTACACTGACAATAGGTTCACATTTGAAGTTTTCTCGAATGTTCTTTGCAATAATGTTCCTTGTATTTCCGCTCGAGAAAGATGCAGTTGGATATTTTTACACCATCTGTGTGTATATTCTTCATAAAATAGAAATAAGACTGATATGTTTGCATTTTATTATATAGTGGCTGGTAAATAATTGGCTATGGTTTCAGTCACGATGTGTGCTATTATTCAAATCAATATTAGGGTAAGAATACAGGATGGGGACATTAATTGGAAGCGAAATAATTAATGGGTTTCGATGAACAAATCCTAGGAACCCAATACATATGACTAATAGACGTTGATAGAAATATGCACAGCCATTAACGTCTTGGACAAATACAAAAAAATTTAACAACCAGTTTCCACTGATGAAACCTGCTAATAGGATATTATGACACTGCAAACTGTGTATATTTTCAACTACTTTAATACACAATACTGCTAAATATTAATTACCAACTGGCGTATTTCTTAAATCGTTTATTAAGCCGTTCAACTTCAAAACGCAACTGACCCATGCTCATGAACCAAACAATAACAAATGGACATAAAATTTCTATATACTGGTCACGTAAATAATATTTAAAAGCATCAAAATAAATATTATGTATATCGCACATATTGATAGAAGTTAACTCTGGATTTGCTCGGTTGTCTAAAAATTTAATATTACAGCGGTCTTTTCTGTTTTTACGCTAAACATTCACCATGTATATACGTAAGAAAATAAATTATGTTTTCCCACCAATAAAACATTTTTATTATTTGATTTTCTGTATATGTGTAATTAAGTGTAGTAAATAAGTTGTGTAATAGAATAGATTAAATAAACTATGGAAGAAGTGTTAAAATTTCAAACTTTTTAAATATCAAAAATACCTTAATTAAAAATAGTGGACATCGGAATAAAAATGGTGGCGTTAAGTGCTTTTTATAAGCATAATTTCTCTTAATCTAGTCATTTTGAAGTTTTTATAAAAAAAAATACATTTCTTTAATTTTTTTATTTTTTCTTTCTTACAAGACAAGAAAAGTTGGATGCTGGGTCAAATCACTTGACAGTAAGTATATACACAACGAACACCCACAACAGAGTTAGCAAGTCGGCTTTTTTATGTTAAGTTGCCAAATAAACAGATGGTTCAACTGATGCTAATTGATTACCGCCGTCTTTGGATATTTCTACAACACCTTAGGTGTAGATGCGATACCAACCTTTAAAAAGTGGGTCTTGGTTAACTCAATCACTTCACTGCAGGCCGGTGAGACTGTGGTACCTATCCTGGATGAGCCTGCACATTCACGCAACAGCAAAAACTACTGCATGCTCTAACATGAATGCAAAAAAATCTCGGTTTCCACATCGAAAGATCTAAATATATTTAAATGTATGTTTTATGGATATATATATATTTTAGTCAATTGATGCGGAAAAGCTATGCCTGTTAGATTATTTTATCCTATGGTTTTTGAATAGGGCAATGACTGCATTTACACCATTCAAAACAGAATTGCACCGGGGCCTAGCCGGAGAAGCCAAGCAGGTCGCTGGGTATATAGTGTGAGGCTTTTTTTGTTATTGTATTAATTTGTGAGAAAATCACTATCTTTACGCTACTAACAAACATTTAAAAATGGTTTTATTTATCACGACCTATCAATTGATAATTTTCTAAGGAATAATTTAGAATTAAAATAGATAATATTAAAAGAGAAATATTTTAATATGTGAATATCTGATGCTTCTACAATGTGAATTCAATGGAATCTCGCTAATATGAACATCGTTAAGTCCGAACAAGATGAAATAAATTGCTATTCCCTCCGCTAACCTATTAATTATCTCGTAACTCCAACCAAATGTTATTTCCATATAACTCGAATATCAAAAAGCAAACTCCGTAAGTCGAAGTTTGAACTACTCGAACTCTTCCACTGCAAAGTCCAAAAGGTATTTTTAATTATTTTGTCATCTTGTGTGAATTCGTACACTCATTTACTTTAAACTTTCAAAGTAAACACATTACCAGAAAATGAGTTTACTATAGGTCAGTACCGATTTGGCTGTTAACAAGCATCATCATGAATATTAAACGAAAACTGACGACTTTCATTCTACGTAATGATATCGAGGATCGTGTATTCGGTCCATAATATCATAAAAAAATTATGTGTGTATTTTCTTACGCACGTAAGTATATATAGCGTTAAGACATTAAATGCAATTGATAACGGCTTGTTTAAATAATTTGGAATTATTGGTAAAGGTAAAGTTGTTGTGGCATTACCATGACAACCAACATCATCATGTAGCTTTTTGAGGGTCGGTGTGCGTACGCGTCGTAAATATTGTACTCTCATAATTTATTTCCTATCCCGCCAAATAATTGATAAAAAATTTGCAAATTTAAAAACTTTACTAACATTTTTTTGTAAATGTTTGTACAGTTCACATCACTAATAATTTAAATATGTTACATAAAACTTAAGTAGAATTTTTATTTAACTATACAACCCGAAAAATATTTTAAGAAATTGCGCCTTTCCTAGTTGAAATTTTAACAATTAAATACTATGTATCTCGGAAAATCGTAAATTCTTTATCGTTTACCTTGACCATAGAGATTCCACTGTAGGTTCAAGAATCGTAAACAAAATGTTTTGTAATAGACAAAATTTATTATACAAAAAATATACTACAATTCTAATTGACTTAGATTAGGAATAGAACTAGATATTGCAACCAACAGTGTGTTATAAAATCATTCATATACCGCATTATCTAATTCGAATAAACCTTTCAAGTCTTTATAAAATATATCAGGTATCTTAAATCTAAGGCTCCGATATTTGGTAGCTTACATTCGTCAATTTAATAACGACACATATCAAGTAAAAGGCACAAACTGTCATAAATACTAACAAAAAACATTTGATACGCAATACCTATATACGCCCAACTTTTTCTCTGTTTAATATTTAAAAAAAACACCTCATTATTATATAAACATATTCGAACAATTTAAATAAATAGATTTTTTGTGAATTACAGCGACGCGTTACCATTATTATTCAATAATATATAAAAAAAATTACCCAGTGATATGTAATAATAGCAAAATGTGTAAATGTATATTATATTGGTTACTAAAGCTAGTAAAATTTTGTTCCCAATTTTGTATCATCGTCTTTAACTTTATAGCTTGACGCCATAAATCTAACCATCTAATCTTATTACTTTTCATTGACTATTTTTGCTTCCATATTACAATGCTCTATACAATTAATCTTAACATATCGTCTTCCACGTCAATTGACGAAGCTTTAAAACCACTTATAAATAATTATTGTTTTATCTTATTTCCAATTAAAAACCGTTTGCTTCTTTATTACATATCATTGGTTTGGACATAACCTTACAAACCATAGAATTAAATTATAAATTTGTCAAATACGAACTAAATATACTTTTCAAAATATAGACAGACTTGCTATATCAAAAAAGCAAAGTTAGTGCGCTAAAATAACAAATGTAACTAACTACTGTTACTTGAGCTGGTAGACAACTTCAAATTTGAACTGTTTATTGTTGATTTATGTAAAATATTATGTAGTTTCTTTATTGTAATAGACTGCGTTTACAGTCTTCAGATGGTTGGTGTCAGAAATGTTTAAATCTGTAGTTCCCAATTCGGTATTGGACCCCCCCCCCCCCCCTGCCATAAATTAAAATCATAAACTCAACATTTTTAAATACATTTATAAACATGTTGACAGTCTGCCTTTTACCACGTCCATCGATGGAAACCTTCAACATATATACACTAGTTGTAACGCTGCTACTGTTGTGGATTTGCTGGTCTGAGCAATCTCGCCAGCACGTGTCTCCCGCCCACCAGTTTCAGTTGCTGCCCCTCCATCAGCACGCTGCGAACTCCGCTAGATGTCGCCACTGTAGACGTTGGGACGGCCTGCAAGAGCAAATAGAGCCATGCTAAGATATTTAATTTACATAAGGAATTTACAATAAAAACTTCCTAGGATTTGAAAATTCTGATCCTTATAAATCGATATTTAGTCACCAAATATAAGCCACAACTTTGTTTTACAAGATAAGTCTAAACTTGGATTTATTATCTTAGCGTAGAGGGAGAATACAATAGTTATGATTAAATCGCTATGTTTTAGTTTTACATTTACATCATACACTTTTTACAATAGAAAGTTAGGCTAATTTTAGAAATAAATGCAACATGGTCATTTTACGGCATTTGTTTTCCATTTGCAAACGAACATGCAATTTTATACATATTGTATATTTATAATTCATTAAATCTTCGTTCAATATTTTTTACTAGTAAATCAATAATCTTATTTACGATTCCCTAGATCCTTTGAAGCAACTCAACTCTGCAAAACATTGAAACCTATAAAAATTAAGCATATTGTGCTAAGAATTCATTATAAACCTTAAATTTATGTTTAATTACGACATGATTATAAATATTTTATAACACATAGTTATTCTTAACTCCCTCAAAAAACATTTTTATCATTTATTACATTCTCAATATTGTTATTGAATAGCATTTGGATAAACAGCCACCCAATAAAATCGAAAAAAAAAACGAAATAATCATTGGCTACATGAAGAAATATATCGTGAATATCTTAATTAAATAATGTAATAATCTTAATTAAATTAAATAACAATAATATTGTGGGGATGCAAATTTAGATTTTATTTTACTATCTCAGTTTTTTTGACTTTCTTGCATTTATCATTCACAAAAATGTTCCACTTTGATCTTTGATGTAGGTACACAATTATTTAAAAACAAGTTATAAAATTATCAATTATTCCCATTTTACATATACAATAGGTAACTGTGTAATTATTTAAATATTTATATAACATAATTATATTTCAGTAAATCATTTAAATTTCCACAAAAAAATGTTATACAAATGAAGTCTTAGCCTAATAATTGCATCATGTTATAAAACCGAAATGCTATCATTAAAATTTTAAAATACCAACACCCATTGGCTTATTATATTGATCTAAAATAATGTTACTTAAAATAATATTCACTTTTTTATCACATTTTTTTTTTTCATCTTTCACCCACATGCTATCATTTGAACCATTGTTAATAGTGAACCATGCTGACTTACTTTGGAAAACCCTATGCACTTTGTTAATAACACTACATAACACACTTCAAAAATTTTCTCTTCATGCAAGCTTTTTAAAAATCACCTGTTGAATTTTTATCCCCTGCGGTAGTCTAACCTGATGTATCGGATTCACCTATAATACAAGTATAAGACAAATCAACAGACTTGAATAAAGATCAACTAAGACAAATCATTTCTTAATTAAAAAGTGACGAATTCATTAGGCCTATTTGGAATTCTAGGAATAAATATTAGCAAAAGGTTCAGCGAAACATATTTTAGTTAAAAATTAAAAAAAATGTTATAGGAAAAATTTAATGTAACAAAAAATTAACATGGTTTTTATTACTGGAAAATAAAACTAAATAATTACAAATGTTTGATAATGGTAAAGTTACAAGTAAAACTATTTAACAAGTATTAATTTAGTAAACTAAATAGAGTAACAATTTATATCTTGACATTTATAATTTACGTAAATGATATATTTTTATACACCAAAGATGTCTTTAAAAATGGTTGTCTCCTTAAAATTGCTACCTAATCGCACTTTAACACTAAAATATAATACAAATTAATTTTTTGAGCAAAAGTGAGACAACAACAACTCCAAAGAAATAATTTACATGTGTACTCCTGACATATTGTTTTTGAAATTTATTTGGACTAATATGTTTTTGTTTACTTTCACCTATATTAAGATTCTGCGCAAGTTTACCTAATAACAATATGCAAGATTCGATCTAGATTTGATGGAATAATTCTTCATGGCTCCTCGTGGCCCTTAAACGTGAATTATTATGGTACAAAATTGGTTAGTACAAAATGAGGTGTTAGAATTTAAAAAAATACCTGTTGCAATTTCAATACAGGCGGCGACGAAGTAGATGTGGTAACAGCCTGGCCCCCTGAAATTTATTTTAATAAATTTCAAATGTGCACACACATACTTGTGTTTATTACAATAATAAAGTGAGCATTAACATAAAAATAATAAGCATTCATTACTACACCACCATTAGTATAATAACAGGACTTAGCGCCACGAAATTGAAGCAAAGTGACTCCACCGCTTGTACATATATGCCTCACGCAAACATTTACATAATAGTAAGCCGTACGCAAGCCATAAGCAACGCAGGGTTAGCAGAAAGTCACCTTTTTATTGGCTTAAAATGGACACTGCTAATCTTTACTGTGCCATAAGTCGTATGTGGCCATTTCGTGTATAAATTAAAGTTATAGATTTTTTTTAATTTATGGCGCATGTATTAAAAATTAGGACATCTCTCAAATTGTGCGCTGTTATATCATTGTACACTGACATATTACTATTTATACGCAATTTGCTGACATACTTCGTATTGCAATAAAGGATTTTAAAAAAATCGACTGTTTTAATGCTTCAAATATGAGTTGCAATCGGACAAAATAGGCCATTGTTAAGCACAAAAGTGCGTTTTATTCAATTGAAATGACAAGGTAATCACCCCATACACGTAATTACGTAAACGTACTACCCTTATTACTCAATAACAATAAATAGTCAAAATCATGTTTGTAAGTTTTAACATTTCTACATAGTGGGCGCGAAACCAGAAGACGGAGCTTCGAATCCCTTAGCGCCGAAAAATTTTGTTCATTTATCTATAAATATTCACACATTAAAGTTTCAACTTGAGTGTAGAGACTAGCACTAAAATAAGAACTAATCAGAAAAAATTGTCCTTATGAATGAAAGTTATACCGCAATATATGGAATGTTATTATCTCTAAATTTCATATGCCAGATTCATCTCAGAATGTGGAACATATGAGATAAGTTATGACATAAATATATAATAATTAATTATCTATGTTATAAAAGTAGTCAGCAACCATACCATTTATACTTACCTATATTACTTAAAACTATCGTTTGCGATGTCGAAGCACCGCTTGACGTCACTCGGATAGCGTTACCATCGCTTTGCTGGAAAAGCCAAATATTTACATGACTGATTGTGACATTGTGGAATTCTGTTTGCCAATCTTTTATATATTATATAGTGAACATAGCTCCTTCAGGCGTATCTAGAGCATAAAAATTGAATAACATTAAAAAAACAACTAAATTAATGGTAGAACACATTTTTAACTACCCCCTAATAAAAACAAAAGCTTTAAGCACTATTTTTTGGTTATACTTTTATTTGCTGCTATCTATGCCTATCAACTTTTTGTAATATTTCTCACCATTGACCCAGTTGCGCGCTGTGCAATTTTCATTTTTTTTTTATTTGAAAAGTTGTGAAACGTGCAGGCGGTTCACCCGACGGTAAATGTTTACTGCCGCCAATGGACATCTACAACACCAATACAGAAGGCTTGCCGATGCGTTGACAACTTTTACAATAAGTAGGCCCCGGTTACCTCACCGACCAGACGAAACGCAAAAGTAATATGCACATCACACCGGTCTTTCGAGAGGCCGTGTTAGTTTCACGGACGAGCCTGCCCATTCGTGCAACAGCAGGAGCTACCAAGGCTATCCCTCCAGGATATTTTCAACCGTAAATGAGTAACGTCATTACCTGTAAAATAATGTTGTGCAAGGGCTTCGCAGAAGTGAGCAGGAGCGGTCGGGCGAGTCTCGTCGCCGGCGAAAGCACGCGCACGCCGCCGCGGCTTCGGACGCTGCTCACCGTACCCACGCCGCCCACGTTGCCCACGTTGCCCACGCTACTCACGCTGCCCACGCCGCCCACGTTGCCCACGTTACCCACGCTCGCCACTTGCAACGCCCGCGCCCCACCGACAACACCTTCTAGCGATATCATTTGACCCTGTGCAGAATCATTATCTTAATTACGATTTTGCCAACCACATAGTAAAGATTTTTTTCTTTTTATTATCGTACAGTATAGAGATTAGAATATCAGATTATAGTAAACATTTTTTTTTTGTTCTTATTTAAAATCTGAATTTTGCTGTTTGCTATATTATTATAGTCATTTTTGTATGGAGAAATCAATGTTTTGAACCAGCTTGCCAACTATTCATTGCGTACCATTTGATTGGCACGATCCTCACACGAGAACGAGAATATGTTTTAGGATTAACTTTATTTTTAGTACGAATCCCAGAACTCAAGATGAAACTTAAATATGAATTTTTTGTAGACGAATTGTCAAAAAAAATGTTAAAAACGCAATAAAGAAAGTAGATAAATATACCATATTCGTATTTAAGTTACTACTTGAGTGCGGAGATTATCACTAAAAAAAAATAAGGCGACAGCTTTCAAATATTAATTGCCAAAATGTTATTTTAATAAAGTCATTGGTAAAATTTTAATAAAGAAAACGAAAGATAGATATCGAGATTTTGCGACGTGAACGTATCAGCCACTTAGCTCAATTAGAACGTCTGCACGCGTTTAAAGAAGTAGGTTCGAATCCCGCGACGCCGAAAATTTTTCTACAACTTATTTACAAAAAAGTCAGATGTCAGATTTATTATTATGATTTTGGTACATAAACAGAAACAAAAATTATACAGTTTTTTACATGAAACAGTCAGTCTTAAACTACGAAAATATATATAGATAGCATAATATAATGCGAGATATTAATTTTAAAATAAATAGTGTTTGTCACTAGGATTGACACCTACAACGTGAGATTGCACGTGAAGTACCCTTTTATCCTATTACAAACCTCCGATCACCCTAACGAAGATATTAAAAATAACATTACCTGTGCATTTGTTAACAATTTCGCGACTATAGGCTGCGAAGGTTTGTCACCCGTCGATTGCGTCCTCACCACTTGGGCTATGGACTTCGGCGTTTGCTGATTGGCTAGCTGCAAAGTCTGTCCACTGGCTAACTGTATCGTCTGTCCACTAGACAATTGCACTGTCTGTCCACTAGGCAGCTGCAACGTTTGCCCGCCGGCCAGTTGGACGGTCTGCCCGCCGATCTGCACGGTTTGCGAGGCGATCACGCTCTGACCGGGGGCCATTTGAACACTCTGGCCCGGTATCACGCTCTGGCCGCTCAGCTGCACCGTCTGGACGTTGCCGGCGAGCTGGACCGTCTGCACGCTCTGCGGCGGCAGCACGCTCTGGCCGGCCACCTGGACGCTCTGCCCGCTCGGCAGCTTGACCGTGTGGCCGGCGAGCTGGACGCTCTGGCCGGCGATCTGCACCGTCTGCCCGGCGAGCTGTACAGCCGAGACCGGGATCTGCATGGGCTGGCCGGCCTTGACAGGCGGCGGAGGCAGCGCTCGGGCGGTGGGGTTCTTCGGCTGGGCGACTGCGCGGACCGTCTGTGGGCTGGCGAGCTGGACAGTCTGGCCGCTGGGCAGGCGGACGCTGTGCGAGGGCAGCTGCAGCGGCGACAGCTGCAGCGCGTGGCCGGGCGTGAGCTGAACAGCTTGGCCGCCGGGCAGGTGCACCGTCTGGCTGGTGGCCAGCTGCACGGTCCGCCCGCCGGCCAGCTGGACGGTGCGCATCGGCACCGATGACGTCACCGCAGTCGGCACGCTGCTCACCACAGATGTCGCGCCCGCGGACGTCTGGAATGTATCGACGGTTTTTACGGATGGCTCCGATGCGCAATCGCCACGGTGTTGGCTCCGGCGCCGGGGTTCGTGGGTTCGACTCCCGCAGGACGACTATTTGTCTGACCCACAGATAATTGTTTTGGATCTCGGTGCTTGGGGCCACGTGAAATTTATGTTTGTAAAATATCCTTACAACACAGGTTAATGTTAGGTCCAGTGAAAATATTTTTTTATGCAGCGAGCATGGGGTTCATCAGATTGCCGATGGACATAAAAACAGGATACAGACACTTTTCTAATCCCTAAAACAGTAGGCCCCAGCCTTACTCGCCAGACAAAATACAAAAGAACAATTGCCTCCATTTTGTCGGGCTTCAGGCGTGCAACCTACCCATTCGTGCAGAGAGAACAGAAAAGTGTCGCGCATTTGCTCTCGCCACAGTGATAAAATGATAATATGTAATTTATTTTATTGATTTACAAGATAATACATTAATACTTCATTATCCGTATATTACAATTTAATTCATTGAATTTAAGGTAATTATTTATTAACTTAATAATGACTCATTAATAAAATGAATACTTAAAATGGGATGCCCTGAAAAGTGAGATGGTGGTTTTGTATGCACCTTCGTATATTCATACGTGACGTAATGACACGTTTTGGGTGTGTATGTATAAGTATTTTGTAGTTATATTCTATACTGAGTTAAATGTACCTGCGCCAGTGTCGTTAGGGAGCTCGCACTGGTAACAATTGTCCGCTTTTTCGTCGTAGGCGTGGCTGTTAAGAAAATTGTATAATTTATAAAATAATAGGTTTCCGATTTAGGTTTAAAGGAACGTTTAATCCCAAGATTTACTTACTTTGTTGCATCAAAGCTTGAGGTGATATAAGTGATTTCCCCGAAGATGGGGTAGCTGGACTTAACACTCTTACCACTCCTCTACGGGGTGTACTTGTCTGCAAGGACAAATACATGACAGTTTATAACTATCTTAACAACATCAAAAACAGACAAATGTCTTACCCACTAACTTAATCACCGCAGTTAATCATTAATTTGTTCAATCAGAAAGAGGTGAAGCGGGAATAGATATATACCTTGGCTGGTAGTATTAAAACAAATCAATCGTCAAAGGTAACGGAACTCTTTATTTCGTGGATTTTTAGTTTATGTTTTGTGGCTAACAGCATCTTTGTACGAGCGGAATTCAAAATTTTAAATACACAGTACTTGTACAATACTTGTACTAGCATCAGTTAAAATCGGTCCCAATAGTAATGTCACTGATCATAGGCCATCGTTATTAAATTAGAAATAGAAAGAAGACAAGGAATACTCTAACCAACAGAATATTCTAACCAACTCTAATATATTCTTTTATACACCAATCAAGCAACAAATTTGTATGTTTACCAAAACATGCTTTCGGCTACGAACAGACTTTTTCTTTAAAAAAACCATCCCTTACTGTAGGATAGCATAGTCCTGTATTGTGACAAAATACACAAAATAAAATATAAATTAAAAAAGGAAAGCTACCTAGATCCTGAACATTCGTCTACTAATACTTTTCCGATCGAATCCATAGGAAACGAACCCATGAACCGCGCCTGTCGAATTATCAAACTTAAATAATAAATACAATATACCTGTGTGGACGGAGCACAAACAGTTATGGCTGCAGTTGTTGAAGTGGTTTGTACTGAAGGCGGCCTTATGAGTAACGACCTTGTAACTTGGGTCAACTACAATAATAAATAATATAAAACTTAATATAAGATAGAGAAAATGAATTGCATCGCGAAAACAAGGAAATGTTTATGTATTGATACAGTAATTTAGCGTTATATATTTATTTACAACAATTTTTTTTCTATAAAAACCAAAATTTAAAAAATTAAAAAAAATTATTAATAGAAAACACTGATTTAATTAAAGGAAAGTTTTTTATTGGAAATCATTTTACCTTCGCCTGACTTTGCTGTACAGATGAAACAGATGCAGGTTGAACTACAGAGACAACGGTAGTGTGTTGATTTGACAAACTGCATGGAACCTGAAAGAAAGAAGATTGAGATAAGAGATTTAACATATTATCTTTCTAGAAACGGGACGCTGTATCTGATAAAATTCTTTTTCTCAGTAAAGGCCTTAGAGGAGATCCTGGCATAGCCGCCTTAAACTGACGAAGAATGTCTCATTTTAACAGACAAAAGAAACATTTTATTACTGGGGTAAGGCCACGCAAAACAGAAGACCGCTTCTGCGTTTCGTCTGGGTGAGATAACTGGGGCTCACCTTATAAAGTAAAAAAGTAAAAGTAAGCTGCTGGGCAAAGGCCTCCTCTATACAGAGGGTATCAGGGCACAGTCCACCACGCGGCCCCACTGTGGATTAGCGGACTTCGCATGTCTTCGAAAAATATTTTTTTTTATTATTTCGAACATGTACAGGTTTCCTCATGTTTTCCTTCATCGCGGAGCACGTGATACGTAAGTGCTTAAAGTTAAAAACTTCATTATGCCGGCCCGGGGGAAAGAACTCAAGTCGCTCCAGTATATTGTTTATTAAAGGCGACCGCCCGGACAACTAAGCTAACACTCTCGGCTCGAGTCCAAAAGTGAAATGCTGTATTCTAATGACGATTAATGATAATGAATCTTCCACCGTTTGAATACTCACCAGACTCGGCGGCGTGTCCATCTTCTGAGCGACCTTCGGCTTCACTACCGGCTTCTGAGTGAGCACCACCGACGGCAGGGACTTCGGAACGGTCTCAACGGACGGCTTCGTCGGACCGATCGATTTCGGCGTTTCGAGCGCAACGCTCTTCGCCGGCGCCTGTTTAGGCGAGTGCTTCGTTAGCGGCACCAGTTTCGGCGCAGGCTGCTTCGCGAGGGTCTGCTTAGCTTGGGCGACGCTCGCCGCTTTGGGCAACATCGCTTTGGCGGCTGGGCCGGCCAGCTTCGCGGGAGCCGCGGGCGGAGGGCCGCCTTGCTTTCCGGACAGCGACGGCGTTCTCGCTGGGCCGGGGTTGGGCTGTTTCGCCAGTGGCGGGGGTTGCTTCGCCTGGACGCCCCTGGGCTTGGGGGGCGCGGCGACAAGTTTCCCCTTCGGCCTGTTGGCGAGCGCCTGCTGCAGCTGCTTGACCTGCGTCGCCTGCTGCGTCGCCTGCATGAGCAGCTGGGCGGAGGAGAGGTGCGGCACGGAGGGCGGGGCGCCGCTGTCGTCCACGTCCACGTCGCTGTCGGATGCGTTTTCGACCACCTCCTCGGCGCCGGTGGTCTCCACATCCACCTTTAGTACGGAAAATTAATACTTTCATAAAAGGAAAGCAACATCCTTTACAAGACCCATTGCTGGACAAAGGCCATTTCTGCGTGGAGGGTATTAAGGCATAGTACACCACGCGAACCTGCTGTGGATTGGCGGACTTCACATATCTTCGAAATATTTTTCTTTTCATGTTTGTATCATCACGATGTTTTCCTTCACCGCTGAGCACGTGATAAGTCAGCACTTAAAATTAACAATTTCATTGGTGCCAGCACCGGGATTTGAACTCGGGCAGATTGCTCGTGTCAGCTATCATGGGTCCGGAATGTATTGCGCCATGACTTAGACGTCCTAGTAGTATTTTACTACAAGTGCTACGATTATCAGTAAACAATTTATGTACTACGTGAAAACTTTGCTTTATTTAACTTACGGCAGAAGTATGCGGCGAAATAGCGGGCGGTAGGACGGCGGCAGTTTTCCCTCCGCGGTTACGTTGCCCGCTGCCCTTCAACCAGTCCTCTTCACTTCTGTTACACAAACGCGCATCGTGTACAAAACTTTGTAACGAATAACAAAATTAACACGAATTACGTATTTAATTCATACTACCCAATTCACATTTCCTTTGGAATATGGCCTTTACTAGTTTAGAGCATATGGTTATTGTATGTGATTGTAAATTCGTCACATTTATCACCACGTTTAAGACTATGTGCACCATAGTTTTCTTGAACAAGCCAATGAACATACATAATATGTAATATTTCTATTTATTTAATATTTTATTCAATTACTAAGAAACCTTCAAATGGGACCATAAACGACTATTGTTTTATCACATCGGTATAGGAATTCATATAAGCCAAAGAGAAAGTATCCAGTCCATACAAATAGAAGACAGTAAACCTGTGTCTATGCAGATATGTCCACACCGCAGTCCGTTGGTCGTATTTCACGATAGGGTCGCGTTTCACCGTTAGCAATTTCTCCAGCGCGGCAGTAATCGCACTAGACAACGCCTGATCGGTGCATGGAGCGATCCATTGAGACATTCTGTGTATAAAAATATATGTTACAGCTAAGACCACTATTTAATAGTTCGCCATTTTTTTTTGTTTAATATAACTAGTGACATTCCCGCAATAAAAAAAAACGTGTGTGTGTGTATACTTATGTACGCACCTAAGAAATTATACTTCGCGCCAAAAGAAGTATTAATTCAAAAATGTAACGAAGGTACATAGAACAGACATGCATACGTTCAGGCCAAACTCATAAACCTCCTTTTTCGGCTTCGTCGCAGGCTGGTAAAAAATAACATCCTTATTAAACAGTTATATCTATAACATTTTTATTAATATGAGAAATGTATGTTTAGGTATAATTATCACCACCTAGTGCCCACAGTACAAGCTTTTAGGTCGGGTCTAGATGAATTTGTTTTTTAATAAGGTTTTTATGGCTTGGATGAAGTAGTTTAAATGTCCGTTATAGGGGTTACAGCTGGGGGGGGCGGGCGGTATGCATCTTGTATCTTGTATTAACTGATGTTTTTGCTTTCAGTCCCGAGACTATTAAAGCTTCATCTGACGCAGAACCGGTGGGCTAGCCAGAACCCACGGGTTTGGGCCCCCTGCTGTGGGTAGGGCCACACATGTGCTCATGCGTGCGTTTAAGTATGGTGTGTCATCTAGGGGCCATCGAGGCCGCGGTTCGGACCGAAACCCCGATGGCCGTCGACTGTGCAATTAGCTAATCGGTGGCTGTATGTACTTGAGCAGGGTGACGATGTCGGCCCTGGTGCCCTCGCCGTTGGGCAGGCGGGCGAGCGCGTCCCTGAGCAGCGCGCCGAAGGTGGCCGAGCGGGGCCGCTGCGCGCACACCAGCGCCCCCGTCGCCCCGCCGCAGCCCACGCCGCTGCGCGCGATCGGCCCCACCGCCGCCCGGTACCTGCGACCACACAATCGCTAAACACCAACATTTGGAGTACAGTCGCGTGCGACGTTGTTATTCCGTCGCTCTAGCTGAAAGTCTCTGTACAGTCGTGAACAGCGTTGTTACCCATCGCTGGTAATTTGCTAATCGCGCGGTCGAAATCGCCTCCCGCCACGCTCCCATCAAAAGTCGGTGTACAGTTGCGTGCGACGTTGCTATTCTATCGCTCTAACTAAAAGTTTCTGTACATTCGCGAACAGCGTTGTTACCCACCGCCGCCGGGTACTTGTAACGGCTCATTTGGGTAATCGCGCGGTCGAAGCACCCACCGCCTCGCTCCCGTAAAGTCGCTGTACAGTTGCGAATGACCTTGCTACTCTGTCGCTTTACCTAGAAGTTTCTGTATGAATGCGAAGAGCGTTGTTACCCACTGCTGCCCGGTACTTGCAACGGTACCTACAATTGGTTAATCGCGCGTTTTAAATCATCACGCTTCTCGCTCCCGCCAAAAGTTGGTGTACAGTTGCGAACGACTTTGTTACTCTGTCGGCCTAACTAGAACTTTCTGTACAGTTGCAAACAGCGTTTTCATAACGCTCGCTTGCGTATAGTTGCGTAGAACAACACATAGTGGCGCATTAGTACGAAAATTAGCTTAAAGCTCTATTTTCTTTTATCATGTCAGAAGAGTTCTCCTGAATGTAGTGTGCCCATTAATATCTCTTTGAGTTATACATATATACCTTAGTAATAGTTCTGTGTATTATGTTTTTTTAATTTTTTATCGAATATTCAATCATTAACGTTACAGCCTGTTAAAATTTTAAATAATTTGTTTATTATATTTTTCATGATTTATAACAATATGCTCTCTACGCGCTACAGCGTGAAGAACTCATATTTTTTATATCTTCATGTTTCTTGATTGAAACGACAAACTCGAGAACCGCAAAGATGCAACTTGAGACATGTGGCTTAGCGTTACTTACACCCTCAATACAGATTAGATATTACACAAGTACTATCGATGTTAAAGATAGCTGTCAGGGAATTAGGGCGGCTCACCCGTGCTGGACGTATGTGAAGGGCTTCGTAGCAGAGGCGAACCTCCGTCTCTCCTGCGCACGGAAATCGGCGATCTCGGCAGGCGTCGGTGCGCGGACCGTCCACGAAGTGGGCCACCTGGAAGCGCTTAGAAAGCATTAATCGCTTAATTGTCTGCCGGCACTCGTGTAAAAGTAACACCGGTCGACTGGTGGAACACCTACTATAATGGTATACCCGCAATTGTACGCTACTGTGCAAAAAGGTTTTAAATGAAAAATAGAAACGAGGAAACCGTTCTTTAGCCATTTTCGAAATTGGTTAAGTTTCGTTTCGACATTCGCTTTGTTCAAAGAAGATTCGAAGTTGTTGTTATCGGACCAGAAACAATATTTGGAGAAACATAATCAAAGCGTCAAACAATCGAATGTTATAAGAATGAATACTGCTAAAACATTAAATAAGAACGATAAAACTCAAACGAAGATACACCTGCGGAGACAAACGTAATGACAAGGCAATATAAATCGCACTAAATATGTAGAAAACCATAAAATATATAACACTATTCCATTCAAAGGAACATATCAAGTATCATTAGGGACATAATCAAGTTAAATTTAAAATTGAATCCCGTCGTTTTTGAATACTTTGAAGCTCTTATTTTATTCATTCTGGATTTAATTTTGTTAATCATAGCATTGCACAAAATTGCAAAAAAAGTTTTTTTTCTTTTCTCTACAAAAATTATTCTCTTATCACTCCAATGACTGACTTGAAATTTGCAGAATTTTTTAACATTTTTTTGGGTGTAAAATCTAGGTCGGTCACTATGATGTCACACTAATATTAGTGCTATGCTTACCTCGGGGGTGGAGCTTCGGTTGATGAGGGCTGGGGCGAAACCGCCCTCAGCCAACGTTCGCAGAGTCGACCCAAAATCGCGTCGCAATCACGGCCCGCGCCGATCCATTGGTAGATCTTCAAAACGTCACACTTCATGACTTATGCATACTCGAAACTCAAATAACGCTTAATAAACGCAGTGACTATGCAACGTTTTTTTATGCAGTTGGCATAATGTTGAAGTATTAACAAGTCAATATCATATTTGAACCCAATGACATAGAAATTTGTTGCGTATGTGAATTAAATGTTTTTTTTTATTTTAATTTTGCATACAAATACATTAATAAAATTTTGTACTGTACATATTCAATTTGGTGGCAAAAACATTTAAAAAAAATAGAAGGTTGTAGAGTGAAGAAATTTAGGTCTGTTGTATTATACAACTTTTCTACTGTAAATTAATGAGTGTCATTTCGTTAATTCATCATACTGAAGTGATATTATCTTCGAAATTATGACTTATACAGACCCATGTTCCATAGACATTTTTCTCCTTTTAGTGTTAGATAGGTAGAACGTACCGTTTTTTGGGAATTCAATTTGGACACGTCTAATAGACTACTTACAGTTACTGCGCTGTATACGTTTTATAGATATAGAAGGTCTTGTAACAAAGTAGTTGTAATATTGTAAGCATAACGCTAAGCTAACCTGTGTCTCGGGTATGTACTGCAAGTATGGAACGAAATCATCCGGATGTGGCCCTCTCTCTCCCGCCAGAAAATCCAATGCAGAGTTGAGCTCAGCACACCAGTCATCAGATACTTGAAATGGCAAGTACTTTAAAAATATTTTGTACCTTAAGGATATTTAGTGAGAACACAAATTATAAATATTTACCCAAAACAATTTCCCAACAACATGAACAATTAACCTGCTGCTGTATTCCTTTAATATAGCAAGAGACTATTAAAACATATATTTTTATATTTTCAAAGCACTACTTCTTTTGAAGAATAGAACTTGTCTCAGATATTTGACCATGATATGAAACTTATAGCTATATGAAGCTTATACCAAAATAACAATAGCAAAAAATATAATATCATCAATTACAGAAATTAATTTCTAATCTTTGCAGGGTATTTGTATAAAGCATATATACAGGTATTAATATCACTACAATTTCTGTATTGCATTTAGTTATGGCAAATGGGTGTACAGAGTGCTACAATAAATCAAAAACAAAGAAGAGCAATACACCAGGTATCCGGGACTAAATTGCATTTTTTTTTGTATACAAAATAGTACATATTATATCTTATTTATTATAATATGCTTAACCATAGTGTAACTTACAGTTGTACCAAGTGTTAAGTGGAGCAATCGGCGACTTCATTACCGCTGCACACCTCGCGTGCAACTGCTGCTTGGAGGCCCGATGCGCTGCTCTCGCCGGGAATAAAGCCCTCACCAGAGACAAGAAGTTTGCGTGGGTTGTCTCCGTCAAAGGTTCATCGGCGTCGTCGCCAGTTTCCGTTGAAGTGACTACGGGTAGGACATCACCGGACTCGTCGGCCAATTCGATTGGTAGTGTCATCATATCTGTTATTGATTTGTTTTTTTTTTGTTTCAATATATGGATATAAATTCAACATCACAATCTACAACACAACAGGGGTGGTCTTTTTCGTATGTTTGCCAATATAACATCTACTTTTTATCTCTGGGCATAAAATCCATCCATTGTAGCCAGCATGTCAGTGTTTGTCCGATGTCAAACAGATGAAGTTAAAATCCCAGTAAGAATGAAAACAAAATTATTCAGTTTTTATGTGCAGTTTTATCAAAATCTGTCAATGAAGATACACCAGAAAACCTGCATTTCCATTAAAAATTATAAATAATACTTGCTTAAAAGTTAACAATGGGACCTCATGGCATATTATACCGTAATGATAATGTAGTGAGTGATAATGTAAACACAAAGTTCACAGCAGTACCACATCTTATCTCTTTAAAGGAGCGATTCTTGGATCATATTATATACAATCTGAATCTCGGAAACAGCTCCAACGATTTTCATAAAATACGGCATGCGGGGGGGTTTTGGGGGTGATAAATCAATATAGCTAAGTTTCATTTATAGAAAACGTCGTTTTATCCGTGTTTTCAAACAATGAAAAATATCATTAAAATAGAATACATAAATGCATATAAATATCATGTATTGCTACTACAGCAATTAAATCTACTTTAACTTTTTCTTATGTAAAACGGAAATATGTAATCTCTGCACATAGTTACTGAAGATTTCATACTTTTCACTTTTTTTACATTAATGTGTCTTATTTGTTTGAAAAGTACTTTTTCCCCTTGGTTATTAAAATATTTCCAAAATTGAATTCCATACACAAATAATATATACTCACCAATTCCATCCAAATCCTCCAACTTTATTGGCACAGGTTGCAAAACTCTTGAGTTTTGCATTGAATTAACATAATCCATAGGTTCTTGTTTAATAGCAGTTTCCAGTTTAGATTCACTGTAGTTCATACTGAAGAATATCATTTTGAGAGGTTATTACATAGAAAAATAATTCAAATATTACAATAAAATATGCATTACTAACTTCATAAGGTTTGGATACTTAGTGTCCACAGCTTCCTGTTTGATTTCAGTGTGGTCTAACAACTTCTTAGAATGCTTCGGACTTGCAACAGGATCCAAAAATGATGAACTTTCTGAATCAGATTCCTCCTGCTCGCATTTTATTTTTATATTAGGTAATAATGGTTTACTTTCTATGCTATCAAGATCCTCTTTTCCTTTCTTAATTGGCGGTTTTATGTCTGATTTCATGGCTTTACCATGTAATTCTTTTTTGGCACCTCTTCTTAGTTTCTGGATAGGAGATTCAGTTTTAGGGCCGCCAAACATAAGTTTCTTAGCACCATTTAAAACTGCAACTCTTTGCTTAATGTCCTCTAAAGTTATACCAGTAGTAATGAGTTCTGGATGATTCTATAATCAATTATCAAGAATACTTTAACAAGAACAAACCAAGAAGAAACACATTCAGATAACAATGAATAGTTTACTTCTCTGTACTGCCTCCTTGCCTTGTGAGTTGCCAGGACATTTTTCAAGCATTGCAGTGATGTCAAATATGATGGATCACTTCCACCAAGTGTTCCAGATACATTACTATCAATATGCTGAAAGTAATAATGAGTTTTAATTGCTAATAAATTAATTAATTTCTTATTTTTTGTTTAAATACTTTTAATTTTTTTTTAATTTGTTTAATTTTTCACTATTTAAAAATGTGATAAAAGTCAAAAGCTACTTAATGCTATAAATCCCTATCTAAACACTGAATTTTAATAATGTTTTTATGTACAATAAAAAAAATCATTACAATTAAGTATATTATGCTTAACCAACATAATTATGCTGATTATTTCAATTTTAAATATAATACTTTAATTTCTTAAGGCAAATAAAAAATATTTACCTGCCCATGGGTTGATTGTTTTTTCTTTTTCATTGCCCGCTCTGGTGGTCCTTCGGGGTAATTTTCATCTTCAGACTCTTCTCCACCAACCTCACTCCAAATGGCAGCTAGTTCCTCAAAATACCTTTGTTTCACTCTTATATGCAAAGATTTGTACTTATTTTTGGTTGATGATTTGGGAGCTAAAAGTGGCAATCGAGGAATTGGGCCAGGAGGTGCCCCTTTAACTACTGCTAACAAGCGTTCTCGGGAGATTAATAGTTCAGGTAAAAGTTTTGCATAATATGATTTTTTCTGAAAAATGTCAAAGATAACGATTACAATAACAATCCAGAACACATTCTCCAGGTAAATTAGTTAAGCATTCACCTTATGTTTTTGTTGTTTTGCTCTAGCTTTCTTTAGAAACTTCCTCATTTTAGCAATGTCTGGCCTGTAATTGCCTTGTCTTAAATTTGAATATAAATTGCTGAGGGGTGAAGTGAAATGAAATGGTTCATGATTGAACAACATCTTCAAAGTTGTCTCATTCTCTTCGTCACTATTGTCATTGAATTGGGGAAGTAGCTTTGTGAGGTTTTCTTTATGTTTATCTTCCAAACTATCCCATGTTTTCATGGAAAAAAATTCTTTAAATATAGAATAATCTTCACAAAGCTCTTGGGGTAATTCTAAGGTGTGGCCTAGGATACTAACTGGTTCCATTAACTCTTCATCACATTCTGAACTCCCGCTAGAAGTGTCGGATGTACTAGTAGTTTCGCCGCTCAAACTTTGGTCACTTTCCATTTTTTCCTCCGTATCTGCGGCCTTATCAGACATTTTGGGGAATCACTTTTGTATTCCAAATACAATATCGCTTTTTTAAATATCTAATTTCCAACTGTTACATAGATATAATACCTTGTTTTGCTACTCTTGTTTACAAAAATTAGACTCAACAATATATCAATCTGTAGTCACCAGCTATGAAGTTTTTTGAATTAATGTCAAGTCTTGTCTAAAATAAAATACAACGCACACGACAATGTTCGGCGTTTCATACATAGTATGCGCCAGGACGGCACATTGCGATGAGAAAATAACTTGACAACCAAAATCAGCGACATTTTGCCATTTCAAAATGGAATTTTAAAACAAAACACATCTTGTCTATGTCTACCACAGAATGAAATAGCTTTTGCCAACGCCCAATTTAAGAAATCTTATTAGCCTTTTTGCTAAAAACTTTTTTAATTATTTATGAAAATTTTTGAGGAACCAAGTATTATTCTAATAATAATACTTCTAATGCAAAAATTAACGACTGACCTTATATTATATTTCAATAGGTTAAATCCTTGTCTTCATACATGCTAAATTTACTACATAACATTATATCTACTAATAAAAATGTCCTTTAATCAATTAACTCGTTTCGGTAATTACTTTAATGAACGAACAAAAGATAATACAACGCGATAATACAATCGTTCATTAAAAGATAATACAACGCTATTTTGGGCCTCAATAAAATAACTAAGCGCACGATGAGGAATTGTCTGAAGTATTATTTAAATTCCTTGAAATGACAAATTTTCACAAAATTTTCGAAATTATACTTCTTCTGGAACGTTTGGAGGAAATTATGAGAGTAAAATTTTCACGATGCGCTCCCACACCGACAGCTAAAAAGCAACACGATGAAATTGTTTGTAAAGCGTCCAATTTCACGATAGTATCATACCAACCAATAACCACTTTTTGACATTTATCCATTATTCCAAGTTATTTTAAATCGTTATCAATTTATGCATTCATCGAAAAGAATAAACAACCGGCACATAAATAACAACCTAACAAGTCCACCTGTTTCCCATGTTAATGGAATTGGAATGATTACAGATGGTACGATCCATTACCAAGTTACGATCCTGGAAAGTTTTGAACGGCATTTAGAGAGAGTACGACGATCAGGACAACAGTTTCCTTTTTGAAATGAATTAAGTGTGTGCATATTATAACGATTCGTACCTGTATTAGTATATCTACTACTTATAAAATATTTTTGGTGAGATAAATATAAATTTGCTAGTATTCCCAAGGAGGGGTGACGTCAGGCAGGCGGCCGGTCATAAAAATAAAGCCAATAAATGTAATAACAACATGATTCCGAAAATAAATAATGGACCTGTTGTGCCGACACCACATTGTGTGGCATAAGGGCAGGAGAAAGAAGATTTTAAACCGTTCTCAATTGCATTTAATGTCTTTTTCATAAACAAAAAGTACTGGCACAGGGGACAACATTTTTAGTTATTTGTCTTTTGAATTTTTTTACGTTTAAGAAGTCATATTTCTTTAGAATAACAAAATTCTACGTGCGTACATAAGCACACAAATTTTTTTTATATCATATATGAATACTTATTGGATCGATTGTCGGCAGTAGTATTTTCTAATTGCTATTTGGTCATAAAGAAACATAATGGTAGAGCAATAAATCATCATTTAAATACAATTAATTTGCTAACAATTTGTTATATCAACTTTATTATATTATGCAAATAACCTTTGGTAGTTTTTTCAAAACACTCTACATTTTGTAAACTCTTTTTAAGAAATCTTTATCTGTGGTAATTTCAGAATGTCCGTGATTGTGTATGGTTTGACTTTTTGTTTGACGTAAATTAATCGTGGTGTAGTAAATATGGCTGACGAACTCAATGTTGACAGTCTTATCCACAGACTTTTAGAAGGTAATATTTCATCAATTTTTAATTATATAGTTGTCACACAAATTTTTCACCTTGGAATATAAAGTAACAACAGTTTTTATAATGTTCTTTATACTCTAGTTGCGTAATTATCATTCGGAGCATAGGAATAGAAACGTCAAACTCATAAATAAATCGATTATCCTCAATTCTTATCTGAATCTAGTTTTAATATTAACACTGTAAACCTAGCGTAAACGTCCATTTGCATCTTTTAAATACATCAGACACTAAAATGTTTAGTTGTTTATTGTATATCGTAACAATAATTTCTAGTGGTATCCATGCCAGATTTCATGGCATCGAACAATTTCATGGGCTTACTGTTATGCTTTGTTCGCATTATATCTTACTTTACTTCTTAATTTCACTTTATCATGCTGCTTTTTATGGGTTACGACAGTATACAGACTGCAACAGGAAACAGCAAGGCGAAAAGGGAAATTGAAAGACATCTTTTCGGGAGAATGTATGGTTAAATCCTAAATTATTTTCAAAGTATTGAGCTAGAACCGTATAATTTATTTTATGCCCCATAATCCTAATAATTTTATCCATAACCATTGATTTTATAATTTCATTGGTATATTTCAATTAATTGTGGTACTCAACTGTAAATTCAAACTTCATTCACCAATGTAACTGAAAAATTATATTACATTGATATAAGTGAAATTAATGAAACAATTAATTAATTATGGTATAAGTTACATTGTTTATTATTAAGGTCAAAGTTATTTGGTTCTTTGAGAGTGTTATTTATTGTTTATTTTTTAACAGTGAACAAATATAAAGGGAGTTTTAGTATAGTGTTTCTCATTTTATTTTTATAAATTATTCACACTCATAACAATGTTTGCTATTCTTAGCATGCTCAAAGGTTCTGATGTCTTGTATTTCAAAAAATTTTGTTGTTTTTTAGCCTATGTAAACCTATGTTTGAAGTTCTTGTGACAACAATATATTATATAATAATTGTTTTAACTGTCCATGGCACTGCACTTCTTATCATTTGCTTGTACTCTGATATATGAATGTAGGACCAAGATGACAGCTTTTAATCTATAATCATTATGAATATTACTACAAAAATATTTATAGTTGTATTTAGTCTGCCATTTGGCTTTTCCTATGTTTTTTTGTAGTAATGTTGCTTTATTGTGAATACAGCTGTACTTTTGGCTTCTGCATAACATGTCAAAAATATTACTTTCAAAATAAATATAATGCTTTATTGCTTCAGTTCGAGGATGCAGACCTGGAAAAACTGTGCAAATGTCAGAGTCGGAGGTGCGTGGCCTCTGCACCAAGTCTCGGGAGATATTTTTGCAGCAACCAATTTTACTGGAACTGGAAGCGCCTCTGAAAATTTGTGGTAATTGTTATAAAATATTATCTTTTTTTTACTTATGAAATTAACTAAAACTAGTTGGTCTTAGTGACTTTTTCAAAAAATTACACCAACTGCCCAACCAAGTTTTCTAATTTAGTTGCCATTATAAACATTTCATTTAGTGACAAGGGGCCCTTGATTTTGTTTCATATTAACTCTATACAAACATAAAAAGAATCTGTTACTTATGAATTTAAGTACACCAAGTTATGCATGAGATGTAGTTCTTTTTGATCTACAAGATTTGTTGTGCATATTGACAACTTTTTGTCAGTTCTTGCAATTGCAAGATACATATTATATTTTTTCAGGTGATATTCATGGGCAGTATACAGATTTGCTGCGTCTCTTTGAATATGGTGGCTTCCCACCTGAAGCTAATTATTTATTTTTGGGTGATTATGTTGACCGTGGAAAGCAGTCACTAGAGACCATATGCCTTTTGCTTGCATATAAAATAAAGTATCCAGAGAACTTTTTCCTTCTAAGAGGGAATCATGAATGTGCTAGCATAAATCGCATTTATGGTAAGTATCATTACAACTTTTCACTTCAGAGAAAATTGCTACAATACATATTTCAGAACCTACAACATAAAATAGGAATGATTTTATCAAGCAAAAAAATCAAATAGAATAAAGTTTTTTCTTTTTCATCTTTTTAAACTGCTTTATACTTCTCGTCTCAACAAGGTAAAGTCTCAAAATATTAGATTGGTAATTGCAACACAAAACTAATCTAATATTTTGAGATAGTATTTTCTACAATGAATTTACTTCCTTGGCAGTACCTAAATTACATTTTAATTATCTTATTCATTTATGTTTTATCAAGTGTGTTAGTGTTTTGATAAGTGTAATATTTGGCCAAATTTTATAGAAAACTTGAAAATACTTAAGAATCTTATCTGAGCGTTTTTAAATGCCAAAAAACATTACATCTTTCTTTGATATGTATTTTGTTCCCTTATCAGGTTTTTATGACGAATGTAAACGCCGATACAATATTAAGCTGTGGAAGACATTTACTGACTGTTTCAATTGCTTGCCAATAGCTGCTATTATTGATGAAAAGATTTTCTGTTGCCATGGTGGATTATCCCCAGACTTGCAGGGAATGGAGCAGATCAGACGGATAATGAGACCTACCGATGTCCCAGATACAGGTTTATCCCTTATAAATTTATTGTTTCTATATAGAGTGGATAGGCTAAGGCTGCAGTAATTTTATTACTGGGGATGTTGTTAACAAGAGGTCATTTCATATAAATATTAATATGCCTTATTCTAGTACCTCACTACACAAAACAGTTAAATCAGCTTAGTCGATATTATAACTTTTATGTCATTATTACCCTCTCTAAAGAGGAGGCCTTTGTTCAGTAGGGTGACATATACAGTCTGTTACTTAACTCTTTTTATACACACTATACAATGCAATGATACAAATATTGGTTTTATAATTATATATTTATTTAATTTGACATTTTGATGCAATAATAACTATTTTAAAACAATTGTATGTACCTTAAAATAAAACCACACAATTATTTGTGATAGTATTTTAAGCTGTAGACAAAAATGCATAAATGTAGATGCATGCCTAATTTCTAAATTACGCACAGATGCAACCAGAATTTACTGATGCGAATACTACTGTCATTCACAAATTAGATTCTGTTTATCAGTAATTTTAATTGCAAAATATGACATCAATATTTTATTTTTGTAAATATATAGTGATATTTATTATAATGGTAGATTTTTGGCTGGTATAAAGCAACAATCATTATTTGTCATGTATAGAGGGTCATAAAGTCTTTCATTGCTTGATTTATCTCCATTTACTTTAGTTCTATAATAAAAAATAACTTTTGTTTTAGAACACTCAAGGACACCACATACTGTGTAGAGTCAGAATTAAATTTTTGTTTAATTATTTAGGAAACCTGTGTAAAACATGTTATTAGTAGTCACTGAATAATATGTTATTTTATAGGTTTGCTATGTGATCTGCTGTGGTCTGACCCTGATAAGGATGTGCAGGGATGGGGAGAAAATGACCGTGGAGTATCATTTACATTTGGTCCTGATGTTGTTAGCAAGTTTCTCAATAGACATGATCTGGATTTAATTTGTAGAGCTCACCAGGTATATGATAAAACTCATCACAAATATTTTAAAACAATGCAAAGACAATTCTTTATAGATACAATAAAACAAAATTGGATATAGTTTGTAGCTAACCTTACCAGATATACTAGCCTTGCTTAGACTATGAAACATTGATTATTTAGTAAATCTTTTAAACAATAGTTCATGAAATGCATTTTCAGTACAATTTGTTGAATTAGTAAAAATTATTATTTCATTATTGTAATTACATTTTAATATTTTCCTTTTATAATATTTTAGGTAGTGGAAGATGGTTATGAATTCTTCGCAAAGCGGCAACTTGTTACACTCTTCTCTGCACCAAATTATTGTGGAGAATTTGACAATGCTGGTGGCATGATGTCTGTTGATGAGACATTAATGTGCTCTTTCCAGGTTAAATTAGAAATTTATGATTTTGTTAATCTTTTATACGGCATGGCATTACAACCGACGATAAATGAACACACTTCTAACACCCTATTTGCCAATAATCATAAAAAATATAAAAGTTAAAAAATCCATAATTAAAAAAAATACTTTCAAAAAACTAATGAATTAAAAAAGAAACAACATTGATTTGTTGCCACAACTTCGTTTTACAAGTTTCCAGTCCTTCTAAGAGTATGTTTTATCATTTCATTTGCTTTGTGACCTTTAGAAATGAACTTTATATTACAGTTTTATGTTAGAATGTTCTAAAATAGTTTGTTTTGGAAAAATATTGATTAATAAATTAAATCTTTATTACAATTTTAAAAAGTTATCCTCTATATGTGTGTTTATTTATGGTCGCGTTAGTAGCGCCCAATTGTATAGTAATTTGGGAAATTTGGTTGCAATTAATATAAACAACTTACAGATATTAAAACCATCTGAGAAGAAAGCAAAGTATCAGTACAATGGAATTAACAGTGGAAGACCAGCTACACCTCAAAGGTCACCTCCTAAAAAGAAATAACTGACTTTTGGGATCCAGTGTGCTGCACAGTGAGAAGAATGCTACAAATAATTTAATTATATCACATATTGTAATTACTATTACTTAGTCAAGAACAGAGCCGAATAAAATATCATAATGTTAAAAATTATTTATCAATTTACTTGTGCCTTCTTATTTTTAATTTTTATTATAAATGAGTGATATTAATTTATGGATTTAGTTAACAGAGATTTATTGTTGTCAAGAGATTTTTTATTCGGCAATGCTTTCTGACTATGGCTTTTTCAATCCCTGACATAATGCAGCTTTCAAAAAAATTATATCCCGTTTTAATGTGAGACTAATGATGTTGTAGTAAAATTGTTTTATCTATGTTGGAGTTAGTAGTGGCAAGCAATCTGAAAGATGCGGGCATTGGACACAAAGCGTCATTATATTTTATCTATTTTTTAAGTTGTAGTGGATTGAGAACACTTTGCTTTGTTAATCATTCTGTAACTAATGTGCCTACAAATGTAAAGTATAGTCTTGGTATTAAGTAATAATGATTGGTTTAGTTGAAATTTCTAGTTTATAAAACTTAAGGTTTTATCAAAATTTAGTCATAATATCATATTCTATCCTTTTTTTAGCATTAATGCTGAATTTTATTTATTTCTAAAATAATGGATTCTTTTGCAAAGCTGCTGGCCTAAGACATGATGTTTACCTTCATCAGCCATGCTAATTGATGATTTTTTTTTCTTTCAGTTCTAGGACTTCATTGCAATTCACTATGATTGAAATGTGGATGTTCCCAGTGAAATTAATGTTACTTGCACTCAGTATTAATTTTTATGGATAATATGAAATAAGTAGATTGGTAAAATTATGGCAAATTGGCAAGATGCTCGCCCTGGTGAGGCTATACCTTCAATATGTAGTAAGTCTCAAATGATACAATCAATTACAATTCTAAATGGTGTTAGAAGCAGTGTAGTCCTCGCAACAATAGTGCAATTGCTATATTATTATGATTATATTTAAATTATATGCAGGTTTTGCATTGTACAATTTTATTTTTTAGCTTTATTAAAATATATTCAATAAATATTACTATACAAAGTAAGAGGTTTATTTTTGTTCTTTTTTTTTTCATTTTGGTTTGCATTTATCTTGCAGTTTTTGTTAGTGTGAATAAAAAGTCTTAAACAAGAGTTATCTCCTAAGAATTGATCATTTGTTTCATAATCTCTGACAATCATTTTGACTTTGCTTTTTTCTTAATATTCTCCTTTTAAACTTCTTGAAACAAGCTATTATCTAGAACTGTGTGCTGCAAAATTAGACTTATGTGGTTTCCCTTTATGATTACTCTTAAAGTTATTCTTCTCTTTTTTCGTCTACACTTGTAATAGTTTCAAAGAAAATTGAGTTTAATTTACTTAGATATAAAATTTTTGTTGTACTTTTCTCAGGTGTGTACAATTTTCTGAATTATAAATTTTACTCAATATTAAAGATGTTATTTATTTACTCATCATCCAATAATTCTCCTCTAGACCAGTTAATATTATCAATGTTAGTCTTAACAGGTACAATTAGGTCTGCAAGATTTTTATGGTTTTCAATTTTTTCACCAATTTTTGCTACAAATTCATCACTTTTTTTTTGGTACTTATGTATATCCATCTGTAAAGCCTTCAAATATCCCCTTTTAGCTATGATAATCTTTTTCAACCTGTTTACTCTCATTTCATACTCTTTGGCTAAACTTTCAAGCAATGTCTTTTGTTTTTGTAAGTTAGCCATGTCAGCAGCTTTTAACTGGGTTTTAATTTCATAATTTTGTGGTCTCCTAGAACAAAATATAATCTTATATAAAATATATAACACCTAACTCCAACACAATTGGTACAAATATAAAAGAATTATTGTAAAACTATATTCAAAATTATTTGGATACTGGAAAGGATATATAACAATTGATGAATGGCAAAAAAAACGATAAAAGTCATTTTGGTTGGTGTGGCAATCAGCTGTTTCGCTTAGTGGCTAAAGTGTCAGGGCATGATTCCAGAAGATGTCAGTTTGATTCCAACAGCGGTGAGTAACTTTTTGTACTTTTTTCTCCAAATTTTAAAATATAATCTATAAAAAACAATTTGAAATTTTTTATCCAGATGGTTCTTTATTTAAAAACAGCTATTCCCCTCAGTCCTATAAGCTATATGGCCGGCCCATTGTCACTTCAGCTTACTGTTCAGAGTTATGTCGGTTATCTTTAACTGAACTCTGGCCAACACAGTCCAGTACACCCTCCCCTGGATGGAGTTGTGGGCATTTGATTGGTGCAGGTAGCTCAGGATTGTTGGAGGCCTATGTTTATTCAGCAGTGGACTCTTAACAGGTTGAAATCATGATGTTTAAATTCATTTACCATCAGAGAAGATCATTTCATATATAATTGTTTCATACTGGTAATGGCTTACTTTAAACTGTAATAATATTTATCTTTTATGGACATAATTTAGGTATAGCTTAAAAGTTTTAATAGTGTACAAAAAATAAAAAAAATATTAGGGCTGTTAGGATTTATAATTTTTTATTCTACAGTATTACATGTAATAAATTATTAGCAACTATTCTGTAGTTGTTGAGGTTTTCACTGTGATAGATTACACATAAGCTTCTGCTGTGGCATCAATAGGCAACCTTGTCCAGTGTCATAGCCTGACTGAAGTAAGCAAAGTGGAAGTACTATTCTTTTACCAGGGCCCTCTTCTTTGCAAAGGTGCAATCCCTTGGGTGTTTGTAGATATCTATGGGTGGAAGTAACCACTTAACATCGGGTGAATTATCTTTTCATTTGCTATCCTCTCGCATAAAGAAATCACTTACCAAGCAGGTTGATCTGGATTTATTTCTGCAAATTTTTCTTTTTGCTTTTCTAAAATTTCCAATTTTTCTGGCATATTTTCAAATTGCCACATAGCACTTAATTCTTGAATCATTTCATCAAGTATACCTCTTTTTAAACAGTTAAACATGGGAACCCATTTGACCCTCCTAAGTTTAGCCTTTGGCACAGTTTCTAAAAAATCTTCATTCCTTAAATAAATATTTACAACTTACATTTTATATTTAAATAACTCTTCAATCTAAAATAATCTAATCTAAAATAAAATTATTATTACTTAAAGGAAACATTACAGTATTTATAATTTTAAAACAAACACACGGGTACAACAGGCGGCCTTATCGCTTAAGCAGCGATCTCTTGAATATAAAATCAAAAAATATTTATTTGAAAATAATTAATTGTTTGCAAAATTTACCTTACTAAATTGGCTATGTTACTAAACTCTTTAAGAATTGTAAAATTATCAAATGTTACTTCTGAATTATTCATATTTGATTCATTTATTTGTTCTTCAACTTTTTCTCCCATAATTATTAATAGTGAAATACTCAGTTTCTAACAAATATTACTATGCTTCCAAGTAGATGATCCGATTTTAAAACTTAACGTAATGTAAAGTCAAATCAAACTTTGTAAACAGAAATATTTGAGAATATGAAATATGACAAATGTTTAAAAAATTCTGCCAGTGTCACATTTTCGAGTTACATTGTCATAAATTAATTGCTTAATTCGCAATTGTTAAGCCGGTGATTATTGTTTAGTTGTACATAAATTTATTCGCTTAAAAAAAATTGATTTCGCTTGACTTTTTGTGCGTTACAGCGGCTTTTGACGCGAAACTGTGGCACAGAACGAAAACATAATAAAGGTTGACATCAAGGTACTGCTGATATTAGGCGATGACTTCATTTTTACGTAAAAACGTAAAAATAAAGTCATCGCCTTCGCTTGGAATAGTTACGTAGTGAGCTTAACTCGGGCCATCTATTAAGCAGAATTACATCATCTGTAAAAATTTCAAGTGTCTAACTATCATAGTTCATGAAATACAGCCTGGTGACAGATGTCTTGTCTTAGTAATAGAGTCCCGTTTTATTATTCGGCAAATGTAAATAACTTTAACTTTGGCGTAATTCAATTAAAATAAACTAAACACTTGTGAATTAATCAAGAAACAGAATTCGGCGGTCGCTTATAGTTTTCGAAAAAATAAATAATGAAATAGTGTGATTTTCACTATAGAAATTACATTTACCGCCTGAGTTCAAATCCCGTTCAAATACCAATGAAACTGTTAATTTTAAATGATTATTCACGTTCTCTGTGGTGAAAAAATTGTGAGTTTCCTCACATTTTTTCATGATTTCGAAATACTAAGAAAAAAGTATTTCGAAATTATATATGTCTGTCAATCAGTAGTTGGGACGCGTGGTGGTCATGTCCTAATACTATCCTCTGTGCAGAGTATAGGCTGATACTTAGTAGCCATGTTTTGGTCAGCCACGGCGAAACCAACACTAGGTCAACCCGGGTATTGCATTTGGCCCCACTGCTTATCCTCCGCGACTCTTCTGGGTTGCACCGTTGCAGCGGTGGTGGGGCTGCTGGGTGTTTCCCTAATCACTGCAGCCGAGACGTGGTGAGCTCGACAGCGTGACGACAGAGACTTTGAAGGCTATTGAACATTTCGAGAAACTCGACTGATTTTCTATTGATCGACCGTTAATCAGTTATTAAATGCAATTAAAAATTAACGTTGTTTTCAGGCGTTCTAGCATCAATTAACATGTTTAACAACAATTAACAAGAGATTAATTTTAAATTGAAATTCAGTGACCTTTCGAATTCTGGGCGTAAGACAGTTTTATTTAATTAAAATACAGGTAAAACGGGAGAAAAAATTTATTTGAACATGTATTTTTGTGTTTAAAATTAAATAATAGTTTTTAATTCGTTTGACCTGTACCTTTGCTTTGATGACTATGTTTTAATGGGTAATAAAAATTGTTTAAATTGATAAACTAGGATTAAAATTATAGAGCTAAAGTTTGTAGTATTTTTGCTGGTGCCTACTAAGTTAGACAATCAAACCAATAGTGTACAATAAATGTGCCATGTGTTCATTTGCCGGTTCTGTGTGATTTGGGAAGTTTGCCTTGGCACCCGAAAAATACAATAGTTGTTATTTAAACAACATTTTAATAATTATAAAACAAGAACAGTACCTACGTAAATAGTGCTTATTAGTTATGTACGAAGTCCTTACTTTGGTGACACGACACTCATGGAGCCTTTGGAAGTCTTTGAAACGCGTATTTATACGTACTAGTACTCGTAAGACTCAGTCCACTATTACGTTAAAAAGGTAGCTAATTATAAAATGCATGAGAATTTTTAAATACCCAAGGGAATAGAGAAAACAGGATTATAATATCAGTGATTGCTTAACTGTGGTCGTCGGGTTACGCCTACATGGCACATCCACTTGTTTTCTCCATTCCGTTGCATGGAATCTTATTTCTTTATTCAAAGCATCTAGTGTGTACATCTATATTCTACAACGCGCGCATTCACGACAAAATCTTATCGCTTTACATATAATATACAAGTTGCGCTTTTTTCCTCCACTTCTTTGACGTTGGAGTTGTAGCAACAAATTAAAGGCATACGCGTCACTCCCTCTGTTGTACATGATATCTTTTTTTTCTCTCGTGAAACGAAATGTGCCTAAAAGTGACACGTTCATAAAATTTCACTCTTCAGCAATAAATTGAAGATTTTCTTCAATAGTATTCCAATTACGATACTTAATAGCAATCCTTGAACAGAGACACATTTTATCACATTGAAAAATACATATTTTAAATCTCGATCAATCCGTCCGCGTCGCCCAATCCCGAACTACCTAATTATAAATAAAACAGTTTGCATATTGTGTTTTTGTTATTTTTTATTTCTTGTATACATAAAAATATTTATAAGTAATAAAACAATTTTTGTAACAAATTTGATTGTCTATGGCAGTGACTATGTCACACAGTCTTTGTGAGAAAATGACCGTAGTAATCCCGCATACATTAAATATGTTAGAAGATACCAGGTGTGTTATTTATAAAACATAGTCAAAGTGATAACGTCGCATAATATGTTTTAGACATAAATAATACGAAACTTAACATATCGTGTGCGATGACAGGCCTTTTAGTAAGCGGCGGCTGAAAACAAAAATGGTATCATTTTAAATAAGTTTGATACTTATGATTACTTATTTTATTCTTAAGACACAATTACTTGTGTCCTGAATATAATATAATCATATATCTTCTATAAAATATCATTTTGAATAAAAATACAATTTTAATAACATCTTTAAAAATAATATATAAGTTTTATATTATATGGCAATACTACACAAATTTTTACTGTTAATTGAAATGATCTACATATTAAATAAATATTTAGTTATAAGATTAAGATTAAGAGACTCAGTTATATTAAATTTCTTATTAAAAAGAAACTATAATTTGACATTAAACAATTTTAACAGAATCATTAAAGCAACAAAAACATATAAGTCTAGAGGAATACACAAGACCTGCATGTAATATGCATCACAATTATGAAAGACTTAATGTAATGATATGATTGATGTAGATATGTTGTAGTTTCTTTTCATTCATATGAATAAAGTGAACGATAATGTGTGCTGATATTAGTAGTGCTGGTGGAAGTAGATGCAGAATAATTGTTCACATGAGGTAAAATGATCTATTCGTATCACTCAAAATACAAAGAGATCAGAATAACGGAGCGGACTGTGAACACAAAATGTAAACTGTTAATCTGAATTAATTTGTATTTTTATGCAGTATAAAAATTAGTCCTTACAGGTAAACTATTTACGGTAGGAGCATTCCACGTTTTAGGTTTTCTGGATGGTGGTAAAAATTTAAACTAGCAAAAATACTTTATTTAATTATTCTGACGCGTATACCTATTGCTGAGTAGATATCAGATGTTCATATTTTATAGACTACGGATGAAAGGCATAGTCTCACTTATATCACCAACTGTGAATGCGTCAGCCACCATTAGATCTGTCGTGATCAGAGATATGACATTAGAAAATTATTCTTATCAATAACTCTTCACGTAAAGAAACGGTTAGAAGTTTAATAGCTGTTGAAACTGTGATAGTTAAATTTAGAGTCCATAACAAGATCGCAGGCCAATTTTTACAGCTTGTAATAATGTAAGCTGTACAACAGCGTGTATTTACAGCGACCCACTAACCTAAAGGCCTGATCGGGTGCTTGTCCCAGAGGAAGGTGCGTTTGACTGGCGACAGGTATGAGTCGCGGATGTAGGAAGGGCTGCGGTCCCATCTAGCGAGCGGTTTCAGCAACGGCCAGTCGTACCAGAAGGGGTCCCGAGTTATCGCCGAGATTGGCAGTGAGGGGCTCGGGTTGAAAATGTCAGCCCAGGGACGCCTCAAGCCGCCGGCGTTGTACAACGGAGCACCTACACGCCACAACAATTAGTGCCGACACAACAGACACAAATGTTTCTGTATTTCGTCATCGTCCACTCTGCCCTAACCGTAAAGCGTTTCGTGCAGAAATTTCAATACATTCCTTAAAAATGCATTAGCTTCTCGGTTTAATTAGAAACTTTCACTTAAAAATAAAGCAGCATCGTCACAAGCATGATAAATGTGTTAAATTCGTATTATTATTTATTCTTAAAGACATAAATTCATGCAACGGTTAGTTTTAGTTAGTTTGTTTCACTAGCTGTTATTAATTTACAATGCTTATCTTGTTTCTATGTAAAATGACCATTGATTAATGACATGTGTGTTTGTACAAAACGAACACATACACTCAGAAAGGGGAATATTAGGGAAGAAGTTTTTGTGAATAAAAATGTTGTGTTTTTTTTATTCACTACAATTATTCAACATAAAATAAGAAAAAGATTAAACTAACACGGAGTTACACTAGCTACAACGGACTACACTGTTTAAATGCAACGGTAAAATCAAAGTCGATTCGAATAGACTCCACAAATTCGTGGGATTGATAAAAAGATTTCTTATGCAGCAATTATTCACGGAGAGGGTCGTGACGAAGATACAGGGTACATTGGGGTCTGTTGCCCTTACCATCGGCATCAAAAGCGACCTCACTATCGCGAGGCGGGCTTATCCTTGGCTTCACCGGTGTCGGGGATTTCCCTCGGAGTCCGCGATCAAAGTCCGCCCATTTTTCGGCTTCGGCGAAAAATGGGTCCCTTTTGAACGCGTCCGATATCCTCGCCGGCCACGCTCCTTCACGGCAAGTCTCACAATCAATACCATGTCATGCACGGGGTCAATCACGACCATAGAGTAATCATAAGAATATAATCTGAACCGTAGTTAGCGACACTATCAGAGTGTAGTGTTCATGGTGATGTAGGCATTACATACTTAAACATATCCAATATGTACTTATAATGTATTCTTGCATATTTACAATGCAGGTCATGCACATCCTGAAAGATGGACGAAAATATCATGATGAATGTATATTTTTAAATGAAACGATTTAGTGTAAAATTACACCTTATTATGATGAAGAAAGGTACTAAGCTACTGAATCAAAACACGGGTCGGTCTTTTATATTTTAATAAAAAAAATATGAATTAGGTTAGTCAATGCAAGTTTTAGTTTGTACTATTAAATAGAACGTTCGTATTTAAGGTAAATAACATATATATATAACAATAACATTTGTCTAAATCTAAGCATAAACAGATATCGAATAACAATTTGAATGCAGATAGCTTCTTACGAAGATAAAACAAATCAAGAAAACAATTTCGAATTTCAGTGTGGTACATAATACAAAATAACAATGAAGGTTTAAAACAATCGTAAAAACATAGTTTTCCATAAACGTCCCGTATAAAGTCGTTTATTTTAATACAAATTTATTCAAATGTAAGAGTTTAATGATATATTTTTGACAGTAATAAATGGTTTACGGCCGAATTCAGAGACGTCGATTAGCCTTAACTAGAATAAAATTCTTTATTTATTTAACTTTTACACAAAACTTGTGTATAGACCGACTTAATGTCCGAGGCATTCTCTACCAGTCAACGAAAGTACTAGGTAATGCAGAGATAAAAGAAGTAGGTGTAAACAAAAAAAATACTTATATAACAAATACATTCATATGTACAATTTTATATTTATGTATCAGGTTTAAGACTGAAGTTTGCAAATAAACGAATTCGATGATAAGCAAAGTACTAATTGACGTCTCTCAGTACCGTTGGAGATAAAACTCACAGCAACACGATTCAAATAGCATTGAAACCATCAGTGAATTAGATCCCAGTTGTTTGTACAGTGTACTGAATCCAAGTGGTCTGCCCCGTCTGATATGTTCCCATTAGGTAATAGGACATGTTTGATTAACAATTTCTTACGCAATTGGACCACACAGCATTTAGCCTACACTTGGAGCAGTGGAGCGCCGATTACCGTCCGTTGTTAACACGAAAGTGGTCCACTCCAGACACGAAGAATGGCTCTACATGTTCCGTGTCAACTTTAACTAACGGAAAGCGGCGTCACTTAACCTAGCTTATACTATGATGATCGTGCATATAGATTAATAAAATTTACCTGTTCCCCAGTGAGGTTTGGAGTCAGGTTCATATTCGATGCCTTTAAGGCTCTTGGGTCCGAGAGGGTCGATAATTGGTGCGGTTAGGTCGGTGATGGGGTACGCCCGGTCCTTCAGGTAGAGGCCATAACGAGAGGGATACAGCCTGTCGATGGCAGCCAGCCTGTCTAAATGGTCTTGCCACGCCTTGTGAGCGTCGAAGGGATCGACGCCGCGTCGGATACGCCTCGGCACGTGGTAAACTGTTGCGCATTATACATTAGTAAATTTAACATGGCTTCTATGAATTTATTTTGTTTTAATGATTCGATTAATATAATTTAACTTGTTTTTAATCTGCTTCAAGGCTACTTGGTGACTTATCCGCTTGTTAGGACTTTGAATAAAGATAAGTGCTTATAAATGTACAATCGTAATAGATTTACGGCCCTTTGCAATATTCTATATATTGATATATTTGGTTTCTAGCGATAGGTACTTGATATTAGCTCCATAATAATTACTTAAAAATTCTTTCTCCAATAAGGAAATCCATCAGTAGATAGAATATTGAAACCGGCTGATAGTCAATAATGATGTTAAAAAATACAGGAGTTAAATGAAAAGTTTACCAACATCAAAAGAAAACAGTAGAAATTATAAGAAACATTTTTGAGACAGTCCATTTGTATTTTCGGAAACAATAATTTTCAATTGGAATATCGCAATCGTTATATTGTTAGATATGCCAAAAGCTTTGTTTACAATATATACATATATAAGATAGAACTCACCTCTATCACATTTCAGGGATATCTCGTTATATATGGTTTAACGAATATCAAGTAAACAATGTTACAAGGGAGGTAAATATGAATTAAAAAGAAAATTGTGACAACCTGACAAATGCTGGAAGATTTAATCGATGAAGTCGATGTAACATTTAATGGTCTTTACAAGTGTATGTGATGCTACGTGTAAGAGGTGATATCTATATGCTCCATGCAATGAAGTGACATGGCATGAATAAAAGCAACAATCATCTATGCATACATTGGTACAACATTTTAGCATTTGACAACATACAATATCGATAATGACCTTTTACGAGTAATAATGGATATACATTAACATGACAATTTGTTTAATTACATACATAATGGATCAAAATACAGACACGTATCTACAAAATGTGTTACTTTTAATAATGTAAAGCTTTAATGTAAAAAATTCTGTGAGCTTCTGAATTTTCGTGTAATGTTAATCGATTCATCGTTAAACTCGCAACTGTATCTCCGAGCCTTTGACAGGTTTCACGGCAGTATTATATGCGTAAGCTTTATTAATAAAAATGCATTACAATAGCGGTAACTCTATTACAGTTATCAAATTTTTTATTAAACAATAATTATCTTATAGAGTTGAATCTCATCAGTTGCCTTATCATATTGTGGCTTCGAGTTTTCACCTTTAGGTCATGATGAGATAAGTGATTTTTAAATGATTATAAAAAGCGTACTCTAAGCAAGTTGTTTGAGACTTTTAAACGCCCCCGCTGACTTTTGATGCTGAAACAATTAAATTAATTGCCAATATTTATCTACTACTAAAACTGATTTTATTCATTTACATTTCGAACGACTTAATGAAGTACAAATCGGGACTCTTCTATTTTTATCTTAGTTGCTCCTTTAAAACTCTTCTATTGTATGCTATTATAAAAACTGATATTGTTAAGACTTTATTACAACTAATTTTGTTAAATAAATAACCAGTAAGAGTTGAACAGCCAAAGTTGTAAGATATTATTTTACTTTGTTATTTGCGTTTTGCGACATTTATTTGGCTACATAATGCTCATTCATCATTACGTTACATCCTATATACAGATAAGATAATGAAATTAAATTTCCAAAGCGTTATATTTGGCTAGCTTGTTTGTTTCTTGCTTGTGTATGAATGTCCTCTCAATCAACAACAGATCCATTCCATAACAGGTATAGGAAAAGAAATATAATAAGATAAGCATTCTAATATGGAAGACCGTGGTATGCAATCGGTTGATGATTGGTTGCTTTTGTTAGTGTAGTGAGTGTTTTGTATATACAAATGTTTATCAAATCGTACTCACTTGGCCTGTACCGGTCGAGGGAGCTGGGGTAGTTGTGCGCGTAAATTGGACGCGGAGAGTACCCGTAGACCTCGCGATGGACTGGCAGGTAGCGATATCCGGGCACAGTGATCCTCTCTGCGGCGCCGATGGGGTCGTCGTAGATGGACTTGGAGTAGGGATAGGTAGACAGGAGCTCGGGGAAAACGCTACGGCGCGTAGGCCTGTACCTCTCCTCCGCTCTGATGTCTTCTGATCCTGATGATTCGATAAAACGCTTGTTACGCCTGATCAACCATCTCATAAATCTATAGTGATATCAATAAGTGTGTTTTTGTGCTTGATTTCATTACTAAAACAAAATATGGAGTTATCAATCGTAGGTACCTTTTAGAGACCGCACGAAGGACTGCCAAAACCTGGCTTTCTTCGACGGCGTCTCATTTCTGCCGATCATTTCTAGATGACTTTTAAACATTTTGCCGGCTTATGTCGTGCTCGTGTTCTGTAAAAGAATGCGGTTGCTGTAGAGATCTGATTATCAGATGGGGAAGTAGAAACGATTGTTCAAAAGTTAGCCTTGAGGTTCACGTTTTGTCTTTAAATACTCGCTCAGGTGACATAATAGAGCACAATACCTCGCTCGCTTTTCGTAAATAGAGCGATGACGTAGGCAGAGTCAGTACCACGGCCGCAAATAGCTGTCTCGATGGCTGGCCGAATGGCGTTGGACTTGGACAATTGCCAGCCCAACTATTGCCGAGGAGAAACTCGAAAACGGCCGTTTTTACGAATGGCTGATCACAAGTCTATTTTCGAACGCGTCGCGACCTTGCCGCGAAACTCTAGGGATTAACCGCGTTCTGTTTTAAGTAGCTACTCATATTAATGTAAGGTGATCGTAGCTTGGATATAAAAAAACGCTTTTCAGCGTTACGTCAAGCAAGTTTACCTCAAAAACTGACTTATCAAACATTTTCTTTTATAGAACGCGCCTTAATATTGATAAACTGCGTTTAGAATTTACCTAGTCTAATAGGAGATATTGCATAAACAAGACTTCAAGTAAATTGATTGTTGATGCATTCCTTTAGAAACAGTTTCGCCTTTTTGAACCATGATGTAAGATTTCTGATTCACGTACGTAACTCAGTGCTTTATTGATTGCATTTGCGTCAGAAGTAAATTTAGCTTAATACGCAACACCATTCATTAATTTCATATTTCACAGACATCTGTTTTGGAAATTCTATTAGCACTAAAGTATTTTTATCCATAATTTTAGACACATATTAAAGTAAAATATATTCTATAAAGTTCTTCAATCCTTTTATTTATTCATATATTATTTTTGTGCTAAATAATATAATATAAAATTATATGGTATTGAATATACAAGATATGAAAATAATATTTCAATTTTAATTCACAGCTAACACAAAACATGAGGATTGCAATAAAAATTTTAATGGCAAAACGTTGAAAAAAATAATCTTACGTAGATAATCAAGAATCATCGCTATTGACTGTTAAAACTTAACATACGTAAGTAACACGTGTTTATCAACATTCGTGTATTTTTAAATGATAAAATTTCGGTCAAGTTTGAAGGCCAATGTCAAGTGTTCATATAAGAGATACAATAAGAAAGAATAATCATATGGGTTACATCAAAGTCCGCGTAACGAAAGCTTGAAGATTTGGACGATTTTAAAACCCAGTTACGAAAACATTGAGCAGCGCTTCCATTTGGCGGGATTGCAAATTTGGCTCGGGACGAGTGATCTCAAAATAGAAGCGCGCGGGGTCGGATCGAATTCACGACATTCCGCTATCTCGCTTATTGACGCCGACAGGTGGCGTCCGGTACTGATATCTTATACCGTTCTCTGAAATCTTACCATTGGAAAAACACCACCTATACACAACTTAACCTCAAGCATCTTAGCATAATGTTACACTCATTTGATTCGAATTCAAAACGAGGAATAAAATTTACAGTTCGTTTTATATAATGTATATAAAGCGATCGTTACATTTACCTAATGACATGGTGATGAACTATTGACACATTATTCTATATTTTCTATTATTACACATCGATCTTAAGAATTCTAGCGAGTTAAACAATAACACAACTTTATACACTAATTCTGCTAATCAAATAATGTGAGCATCTCGAATATAATGAATAAGTCGTTAAGTCTTTAAGAGAAAACCATACAATCGAAATAGTACATGAATTCCGAAATATAATATTCAGCAACGGTGGCTGCTTGTATGATGAGACAATAATTTATAAGCTTACGTACCGGACGCAGACCCTTAATTTATTAGTCTTACTAATCACTCGCGTGTAAGCAGTCGGAGTGCTTCGGAAACCTGATGGGGGCGCGAGACGGAGCTGTTGTTGCGTAACGCGAGAGCGAGAGAACACAGCCGCACAAAGCTCGCCGGGTCGGCACTCGCGGGGACTAGATGTTCGCGGGTCTTACCGTTTGAGATAATGGTCGTGTAATGTCGGTGTGTAGTCTTGGACGAGCCGACGTCGAGTGTCGGACCTGGGCGGGCGCGCACTGGCTACGCGCCGCCGTCGACCGCTCTCGCTCACCCGCCCCCGCCCCTTCGCCGCCCGCCCAGTCAACATTCGGCCGCGCCTGTCTCGCTCTACTCTAGGCGCCGGCCGACGTTGTCACCCCGTAACCGATTAGATATTGTTACCGGACGTCCTACAGTGTTGACACGAAAGTTGGTGGCGTAAAATATTGTCGAGCAAAAGCTTCTCTGTGGTCTCTGACTTTTATATATACGATACGATACGACCATATAAATACTAAGGATGAATCAGAAATACAAGAATGTGAAACGCCAACTGCTGATTCAGAAGTTGTTCAGCTATTTACATTATCTTAAGATGTAATATGTTAAGTAACAACCTACTAAATTTTATACATATTTATAGCTTTTTTTTTTTTTTTTTTTTTTTTCATTTCAGTTATTAAATGTAGTTCTCTTAGTTTAAGAGCCTTTAAAATTAAGTAATCGCCCTTACACCTATTTAAATTCATACACATATTTCATCGTTCAATTAGTCTCGAAGTCAGTTTCAAATGAAACTCACAGGTTTCTGATCGAAATAGTTCTTGCGTAGGTGCGAATCATTAAAATCACCCACACACATTTATTAAACCGTAGCCTGTTCCGAAATAATTCCAGCACACCTGAATTTATGACCAAGATGATTCAAGCGCAGCTTCTCCGTCCGTGATGGCCGCAGTGTTGTCTGTACGTAAATACAGACAACCTTCTGATATAAAAATAATTAATTGAATCATCTTTATTATCACCTACCGACTAAATACGGGGCATAGTAAATTGAAAGGGTATGCGGAATTGGCCTTGATTTGTCACATGCGTTACATTCGGCATGTCGCATTTGGGCTGAGCTGTTCATAGAATAGACTTTTTAAGCTTACATCTGTAGAATGCAGATAAATACGAGTATCAGTGTCACGCCAATTACCAAATTAGACGTATGTGAAAATTTTTAGATAAAATGGACGAAATATACGCAGTTGTGGGAATGGAACCCACGTCTTCCGGAATCGCGACCTGACGATTTATAATGTATGTTGTCTTGGTGCTACCATTATTCGAGTACATCGTCAAATGGAGATGTTTTTGTATTTTAATTTTCAAATAGTTTTTGGAGTGAAACTTCTTTACTCACACTTGACTTGGAGAATAAGCTGGTGAAATCGTGGGGAGAGTGTTACGAAAATTGTGTTATCGTGCGAGGCGAATGGAATTTGAGAGGAAGATATAAGTTACTAAAGATATAAAGAGAGAGAGCTAGAGTTACGTTTCGAATATTACTGTAGGGGCAAGAGAGCGATTTTCTCTCATAGCCAATTATGTTTCGTATACCTAAGACACAGGGTATGTTGCCTGTATCACACTGAAGTAGCAACAGAGAGCAGTGCGCGCGCACATCTCTCTTCCTCTCATAGCCAGTGCTTGAAATACTGTATATACAGCGTGTCGTTAAAAAAATATTTTTCAAACAACTTGATTAAATAAAAAAGAATCAAAATTTGTAACATCCTATACAACTACAACTGACTGATACATACATTCAGACACTTTTTCATTCGTTGCCGCAGCGTCTCACTACAAATCTCTCTTTCTAACAGTATGTTTTATCTCTTTCAAATTCATTCAATCCAATCATATGCTTTTTGACCTTTACAAATGAACTTTACGTTACCGTTTTATGCGTAAGGGTGTTCTAAAAACGTTAGTTTTGGAAAATTTAATAACTCTATAAATATTGATGTTTGAAGAGTGTAAATGTTTAATACAATTTTAAAAAATTATCCTCTATATGTGTGTTCATTTATTGTCGCGGTTGTAACTACACGCAGTATATGTCAGTCAGTAGTTCACTTCGGAATTTGCTAGCGTTACGCGAACAGTGATTTCTTGATTATTAATTTGTCAATGAAAACCCATAATTTATATTCTCTCTTTGATCTGATTTACATTGTTGGCAACAGCGGAAAAATATGTATAGAAACACGGGCTTAAATCCATTGTACAAATGTTTACAGCACCATGTGAGGTAGTAACTAATATTGCAAATACATTCCACGATTTTTCATAATGCTTGTGACATACCACTCAAGTAATTTACAAATATAAGTCGCTGTTAGTATAGTAATAAATCAAAGTATGATTTTTATAAAATGGTAAACAACAAAAGGAGATTTTAATATACGACAACCATTTCTGCTTAACAAATACTTAAATCCAGGTAATAATCCATTTATATTATAAACGTTATGAGTAAAAAACTTGTATATTTCGTTATTGTAAATAAAAAAATATACAAACATTTTCTTGACAATATTCGAAATGTTAAGTTTAAGTGATTAGCTGATTAATTAAGAATAGTAAAAATTGTAAAGCGAATATTGTAAGAAACTCTGGGTTCAAATTCTCAGAGTTTCTTCCCTGTTCTTCCCTGAACAAAACTTGATTTGTAAACCAGCTGTAGATTTTAAGATTCAGAAGTAGTAGATAGTACAAATGGTTTATTATTTAGGGACATCGTTCTTTTATACGGGCTTTTCCCCTCCAGTTCTGCACTATCTGAAGCGTTGATGTGCGGAGTTCGGTTCCTTGTCAAGAATGCTTAAAGCTTAGTTATGTAGATATATTATGATTGTTTCGTTATGTAGTGGTAGCAAACCCAACATGTTCATCAAGTTTATCATAAAGATTGAAAGAAATATTTATTTGATTGTTAGTTTACAGGCCACTGTGCTTCTAGAAAACAAAACAAAATTTTGAAACCGTTATGAAAATTATCTTTTGTCCATTTCCAAACTAAAATAAAAAAAAAATGTTAACGATGTTTAAACGATGTTTTTTCGGATTCCTGCTTGCTGTAAAACTGAAATGTCGGGTGTAAAAATACCTAGCTCGTAGCCAACGATAGCAGAAATAGTTACGCGGCTCATGATTTCACTTAACGACTGTTAAAATATTTTACAACCCGAAAAGACGTTTTAATAAAATATCTGCGTATTTTATTTAGAGTTTGTTCCTTAAACCAGACCTGGAAAATTCGGTGGAGCCTCACCTTAAAAGCTTTCAATTTAAGATTAAACAGTTATTAAGGTTTAAGTTTCTTTTAAAAGCTATTGTAATACCAAAATTTTGCATAAGAACAGACAATAAAAGGATGTGGTTATATTTTTTAATTTGTCCCGTAAATTGTTTTGTATAGATAATCGGCTGTATTTAACAAAGATCAAAGTTAATTTACGTACGTTATATAACGCTTGCCATGACTCGTAAACTATTAAAATATATATTCCAGAAGCGTTCACTTCATTGCGTGTACCATACAATTCCGTAACGAATAACATATTAAGTCAGACATGTTTCACTACGAAAACAATATACGAATTTTTATTATTTCTTTATTATAAATCCTAATATTGAAACTCACCTTAAATATGCTGGTTGCTGTAATTTTGTAGTAAATATTTGTTTTTCATTCAAATAATTTGCAACAGAATAATATACGATACACACTTGCACTCGATAGACGCTGTCGTCTCCGAACTGATACCTGGCGCTGGTTCAGTGCAGCTTTATCCGCACTTGACCGAGTTTTCATTTTGGATTGTGTGTTATGTTCCCGCGGCGGATTTTCCCTGGACATTTTTACTTCCACCCATTTAAACGTTCGAAAAAACTAAATTTCATTGTTATGTCTATTTATTTCAAATGAGATTAATTTTCATGTATGATTATTCCATATAAATATAAATAAATAAAATAAAATAAAAAGCCCATATTATATATGAACAAAAAATCTTGTAATCTACTATGCTACTTACTATATTTTATTTAATATTATTGTTAATGTTTATTTGTAAAAATCACTCCTCGGGTGAAGGCCTCCTCCAAAGAAAGCCCATGATCTCTATTTTCGGCCACTTCATTTTCATATAAATAAAGTGATAAAAATTAATACGTTTAATTATAACGTTTTTATGAATATTAGTGTTTATATATCATGTTATATAAACACTAGAGAGGTGAATTTCCAAAAGTGATGAATTTTCTATTTCGGAGATCTTTGACCAAAATGTGAAAACAAATTGATGAAAACCTTACCGCTATTTGATTGTAGATATTCATAGAAACAGTTAGCCTTAGGGAAAGATCATTAGTATCTAGCTTATAAATCGTGCAGGCTTTGCAATGCAAAAATTAAAACAGGTCTGTATGAATCATTCAGCGATAAAAATAACTGGATATAAATGTTGGATATGCTCCGTCCCAGGGTTACGTATTAAGTTTCTAAGTAGATAATGTTTTATATTATCGTATGTATTAGTATGTATATTATATTATTGATTGGGCACAGTGTAAACAAATACATTATTTTGCAGTTGTCTGTCGAGGACAAAGTGTCGTGGAGAGATATTTTCCAGCGCAAATTTTCCTCGGGGCTCGATAATTATTGATTTGTATTTCGATTTATAATAGAGAAGCTAATCCGATTTAATACTACGCAAAGTTATTGTAGCAATTTTGGATGCATTACCGTAAACTCACAATAAAAGAAAAATATAATAAGTTTCAAAAACTGAAAGCTTTAGTTTTGATCTGGCAACTGATCTACGAAACACGTAAAACCAAGCAAATATCCAATGTAAAATAAGAAAACAAATGTATCGAAGTGTTAATTTGTGGTTATGAGAGTTCTGCGCCGTATCTCTTTGCATAGTCGTGTAGTTGTATTGTTGAGCCAATTTCGGTGAACCTCTATGACGTTTTCGGTCCGGTTGTATACTGGGCTAGACATTTTTTTAAACATTTTTATAACATATTATTCAGTGGTATTTCTCTATTCTAGTCAGATTTACCAAGTATCTGTAGTGTCTGTGCTCTTGACTTCAACACGAGATACCAAACCAATATCTTTAACATCATCATAATAACAAAATTGTATTTATTACCTGTAATGGAATTTTGCCTGAAATTGGTTTTAGTGATATATCTAAATTCATATTTAAATTTATCTTGGGTGCAAAGATTAGCACTAAATTAATCATAATCATAAAAGTGATTAGTCATGGTTACTCGATATAGTAGTGAAAAGTTACTTTAGAGGATGCCGGGGAAGGGTTGGTAGAAGTTAATCTCCTCTTCTCGTCCAGGACTTGTAACGAGTAGCAAAGTCACAGATCAGGTCCTTTACGGGACCAGGAGACTTGTTGCTGTCTCCTCTTGCCCCCGTTAACTCTCAAAAGCGGACTCGAGAATGTCCATAGCCTGTGCAGTAGAAGCCGTGGATGTAGGTGCGCTAACTTTCCAGTGCGACTAACGTGAAGAAGAAGAGAGATCCTACTCGAAGAAGAGGGCAGAGCCAGTGTGGTCGCAGCTGTGGATGTAGTCCAACAGACATGTGCGGTTTCACCGGTTCGATTTCTGGGTCTTGCGGAGACGGATACGCATCGGCATTTAGCTCACAAAACAAGATGGTCCCAAATATGACTCATAACTTAAAAATTAGTAATGATGTAAAACACCTTAAAATTAGACAAACTCATAGAGAGTGGTGACTTATAACATATTTGTGAAGAAATATAAGTTCTCAAAAGTATGTTATCAAGAGTATTTGACGAAATGCAGCTAAAACAAAGAGAGACAATTTAAATTAATAAAGCGTTGAACAGCTGGTTGTAGAATCTGGACATAGTCCAGGTACTCAAGAGATACGAGTGAGACAACAGCGAATACTATTATTAAAATAAAAATATTTGACATTAAGAAAGACGAGCATTTGTTTTATTTATTATTTATTTTTATTTTCCCATAAGCATATTAGGTAGTTAACGGGTTTTTCAAATTTCAAGCCCACTTCAGAAGAACTATTTGGATTCCTAAATGATAGAGTAATTATCTTAGCTATTATGAATTCGTGGTGGTAGGTAGATTCGTGTTTTCGGGGCAATTCAAATTCATACTGCTATCGAAATCGATAAATTGCGTCAAGATCCCTCTGATCGGTCCGCCTTAAATAGTGTTACATTCACAATTTATATTTTGAATGCCTTGAAGCATTTTTGAGGAATCCATCTAGCTTTGCATAGTCTAAGTAAGTTTATGCTTTAATATAATCCAGAAACATCGAGATTCGAGGCCGAAAATGGATTGAATTTTAATAGAAATCTATGTACAATAAGTTATGGACAACTTCGAGTATTAGCCTTATGTTTACTCTTATTAATTAGTCGTAATTCATGACCCATTTATTTTGAAGACCCTTAACTACGTAACTCTATTTAGACGCCAAAATCTAAATAATAATTACGAGTATTGTCTCAATTTGTTACGTGCCATTAACCAAAAAGTGCCAATTAGTGTCATTATTATGAGACCAAGTATTTATTTTAGTTATTTATTTTGTAAACTGATAGACTGAGGTTTCTACATATACCAGTCCCCACGTTTTATTTGATCTTTATTCTCATCTTTTTTAAACGATGTTTGCGTTTGTAGTCACTGATATTGTGTAATGCGTTAGTCGTAGGCCCACTGAGATTGTACGTTTTTGATAACTAACGAGATTGTTTAAATTTTATCAAATATTACAATTTTTTTTTAAAGTGCGCATAGAAAAATATATAGTGGCAAGCCATGTCTACGAAGAGAAAATGGTGAAAATAAAATGATGTTTATCATTGACATAAACATCAGTAGTCACATTAGTGTAAACTTTCTATTTTCCATTAAACTAGTTCAATCTTTAAATTTTTGACTGCTTATTAAAACCACTTTTACTAGTGGGTTTTACGGGGCAGAAAAAATTACCTTTTTAATCATGAATAAAGCTTATTTTTATATATTTAAGCTATAAGGTTATGTTTCTATATTTACGTTTGCCGTTAACTCATATCGCTATAATAATTATGTTCAAGGTAACTTTATACATCGGAAAATTGATAAGTTGGAATCTGCACAAGCTAATTTAAGACACATCACGACGTCTGTAAAATTCCACGAGTCAAGTGTCTCGTCCCTCGATTGATCGCCTTCGAACCACCGTCACTGTTTTAAAAATAACTGAGCATTTCGCGTGTTTTCGATGCCGTTAATCATTTGCGTATCGCGGAACGCAATTCAAGAAACCTCACAATGAATATCAATCCGACAATGATTTATAGTTGTATAATTATTTATGCTTGTTGCAGAATAATCGTTTTATTGAAATTATTAAAAGCTTTTCATATCGAAATCTTTTCCCTTTTGATGTGATTGCTACATGTTATCACGTCTTTAATATCTGAAGTTAGTTTGATCCCATCACACCAATGCCACAAGCCACAAATGCGATCAACTAAAGTATGTTGAGTACACGTCCATATTAGTAGCAATTAAGTTTTATGCCCGAGCCGTTTTGTCAATAACAGTTGATTTTCTTTGCTGCAACCGACTAACACTATATTATATTATTCCTAATTTGATAGATACTATTCAGAAAAAAATGTTTCATAGTTGATTTCTATTATAAACTTAAATAAAAAAAAAGAATTATGATACATTTTTTGTTTTGACAATATTTCATTTTTGATTTTAGGCAGACGAGCATATGAATATAAAAAAAAATCGATGAAAATTTTTGTGAGTTAAAATTAATTTCATATAACCGCCAAATTTTGCTTGGTCCTAATATTTAAATATTCCTCGATTCTATATTTAATATTAGTCCATTTACATTTTATAGATTCATTATTTCATTTTATAGAATTCATTCTGAATATCTGATTGACGTACAAAATTTAATCGTAATTAAATCCAAAAAAGGCCCAAGGGCTGTGCTGTTTCATCACCATTATCATCATCATTTCAGTCTGTTCGAGTCCATTTCTGAACATAAGCCTCTCTCACACGATCCTGAGCCACCTGCATCCATCTTTCCACACATTTGCACAGGTCCTCACTCCATCTAGTGTAGCTGTCCTACACTACGATGGCCAATACGAGGCTGCCACACGAGACCTTTTCTTCCCATTCGGTTATCGGTTCTTCGAGCTATGGGCTGCCCAGTATCACTTCAGCTTACAAACCTTAGAGATATGTCGGTAACCTTTGTTCCACTGCGAATGTCTTTTATGGCAAACTACGACGCAGAGAAATACGAGAATAGCCCACTCCATAGTTCACTCGATAAGCGACTTTGAGCTTTTTAATAAGGCCAGCAGTGAAGGACGAATTCTCAGTCCCGTAGGACCTGACTGGCAAGACACATTGATTGAAGACTTTAGTCTTCAACCATTAGACTGAGAAGATATGCCGAAGATTCCCGAATGCTGCCCATCCGAGTTGTATCCGCCGATTGACCTCTGCGTCAATGTAGCGTGCATTTACCGTGTAAAAAGGAAACGCTTTATAAATATATAATATTACATCTAAGAGTGTTTCTTGTTCGCACCAAATTGCGTAAATCATTCACATCCTCTATAGGACAGGCTACGCCTAGTGTGGATATTGTATCAATTGTAAACCTACGTATTAATAAACATTTATAGCTACCGTTGTTGCACGATTGGACAGGCTTATCTTGAGAAGTACCACACTCTCATAGAAGACCAGCGTGAAGTA